CAAGAAACATACACATTATAATTTACAGGTCAATTGTACACATTAAAAAAACACTGAAATAGACATTCTTTTAGGATAATTATAATTTTTGTTTGAAAGGGTGTTTACAAGGATAGCTGTAGTAACAGTAAAACTAATAACTGTTTTTCGTTAATCAGACCACACCTTGTCTTGTTTCATTTTGTAAAGGTTTCAGAAAAAAAATCCTTAAACACCTATTTGGAATATACAGAAAAACATTAACGCTAATCAATATATCATTTAGGGTAATTTGAGTTAATTATTAAAACAGAAACAAAAAAACTAAAAGTAACAAGCTTAAGGAAAGCGTTTCCAAGTCTAAAAAAACAATACCTCTTGAAAATACTTTATACAACCTTTAGACATTAGTAAACAAATAAACTGGTAAACATTGAACGACTAGTCCATCCCAGTCTTAAACTGATTATTAGCAATTCATCATTTGTCTTAAAAATATGAAATAGAAATATTCCTGCTTGAATATCTGGGCTACCTGTTCTTGCCATCTGGATAATTCAACAAGTTATATGTTTTCGTGTTTTTTTAACACATCATTATGCCTATTAGTCGCATAACCTATTCAGGTGCGTTTATGAAAAGTTTACGATATTTCGCTTTACAAGTTACAAAAGAGCCCAAACAGAGATATCACAGTTGCTGGCAATATGAATCGAAAAGAATATACATTAATTAGATTGTCGACTCCTAAACTCCCGATATTTATCGCAAAGGTTAATCAAGAAATAAGAAAAGGAAACTTGTTCAAATACTTTGTGCTGTGAATTCTATATTGTATCAAAAATATAATTTCAAAATAAAGCCATTAATAATAATGTATGTCATTTACTTCGATCCTTTCTATACTATACTCTCCGGTATTTCGCACAATTCACTTTATTAACCAATTTTTAAAGTTAACTTTCCAAATTGTGTTTAAAAAGAACCCAGCTATTGTTTATTTCCATGAAGAATCTCTGGTCATTTTTCCAAGTGAAATGTTGGGATTGTTTAGATTTTATTCGCTGAGTTTATTACAAATATAACTTATGTTTTCCATGGCCTGTACATATTTCTATCACATTGTTGTTTCGGATTTCGACAAATATTGACACAAATTCTGAAACTTATCCTATAAATTTCAGAAACTTAAATATTAAATAAAGGCTTTAAAAACCAGGTGTCATCCATTTTGGTTATTTGTACAAAGAGATTTGTCTAGTACAAGTGCAACAATTTGACATACTATCTATGACATTAGTAAACAGGTTACACAGTTCACTAACTTTATCAAATCCTTCATATTCAACTAAAAAAGACCTAAACGATTTCATGAATTGATAGAATTCAATAATGTGAATCATTTGAATGATAATTCGACAGGTTATTAACATTGTGTTGATCATAATGTCCACTCTTGCGTCAAGCTATCAGTGTATTGAATTAAGGGATCTCTGACGAGCATACGACAGTCGTCTAATGCTTTCTTTTCTATTAATTCTCTACTTTAAATTGTATTTTGGTATAAATTACGTTGGTATATTAGACATTGTAGCATGGTATGTCTCAATCAGTCATTCTCTAAATTTTAGAGCGTTCTAAAATATTTATGAAAACACTCATCTACATGGAAAGTGTTCAAAGTCAACAGTAACATTGTCAAAATGATTGTTAAACTTAATTATCATACCACTTCGATTTTTTTCGACATTTATTTTAATCAAATTAAAACTAGTATCAACTATTGAATATAACATCCATTGAGAATTTTCCCTCGTATATCCTCGGACAATTAAATCTACTTCTTTTGGTAATGATCTAGTTTTGCTTACAATGATTTTCTAGTATTTCAGAATACTTCAGAAATCATTGTAAAATACTAGTTTACATCATTAGATTGATTATTATTGGCTATAAATATCATATTAAAGTAGTTTTATATATGGATTACGTTATATTGATTGAAAATGCTTCGTATAGAAAGAAAAATGTTTGTATCAATGAATAAAAACCAGATATTGATAACTGGTTAGAGATACTCATTACAAGTATCAGTATGGGGTCATGGCTTCTCACTAAAACTGTGAGAGTTCCCTCAAAAAACTAGTCATTAGTGAGCACATGGTACTCATTACGATCATTATTTCTTAGCATGTTCATCTACAAGTCAACTTTGTAGAACTTTCTTAAGCATAAATTACAATAAACTCAGACATCATCACTACTTTATTTAGTTAATAAATAAGTGAACAGTATTTAACTTACAACTTGTTGTAAAGTATTATTTTTTTAGAACAGTTTTTCAGTGCTTATTACTGATTGTATTTGCTTTTTAACTATACCCCATAATGGCATAGTCACGAAAACTTATAAAATTCAATATATAATTATGAATATATCCATATATATCATGTTTTATTTGTTTCCTTAATCGATTTTTTACCATTCAACTTCTCAACAAGAACACTTTGATGAATTAAACTATTCACCATTAATTCACTGTTACCTATCTCTTGATAAATGATTTTGTGAGTGCGTACAGTTATAAATGAAAAGAATTAGATGAAAATGTAAATATAAAATAAATCTAATAACAACGGAAATACAACCAAAATAAACAGACATACTTTGTTGAAATTATAAAAAAAAACCTGTGCTAGTATTGTATTTTTATGTAACATGCAAATTGCTCTGCCGTTTTCTTCTTTACGTTAATAAAGATTTTCGTTTTCTTCATAACCCAATTTATAAATGGCCTACAAATGTCAAATAAAACAATATTATATCAGTATTTTTATGGAATATTTCATAAAGAAACAAATTACCAATACAACTCATATTCATCCTTATTCTTTTATGTATAATCAAGGAAATAGATGTATCAATATTTATATCAATATATTTCCGAGATAGATGATGACATCATATTTTTGTCAGGAGAAGAACTTTGTCAGTGTTTTATTTTTAATTGATTAATTGTTTAATAATGTTTGACCATTTCTTGTAAAATTTAATTGACATTTTGTTATGGGTCAAAGGGACAGCCGGTTATATGACAGTGACTTATCGATCGGATCAAGGGTTCAGAATCTCGATAGTCTATTCTGGTCCGTTGTCCCCAACTCTGCTAACTCGATCAAGAAGTCTGGGTAAGGTGTAGAAAGTGTATTCTACAGACAAACAGCAGATAACAAGTCAGGCAGGCAGATCAGATCAAGCATACAAGTCAAGCGTATTTATACAAATATTTACAATCGATATTGTCATGGAAGATTTTTGAACATTAATCAACAATTGACTGCTATTTGAACATTTAATCGATAGTTCATCAATTGACCTATTTGTACATTTAATCGATAGTTCATCAATTGACCTATCTGCATATTTAATCGATAAGTAAATTACAAAATTTGAGTTTTGGGGATCTATCGTCCCCAACACATTTCTTGAACACAGAAGGTAAATATACGTTAGAAATTTTAAACGAGACCATGAACCAATCAATGTTAGACCACCACTGAAAACCTAGCAGCACTCAGCGACCATTTTGTCCTCGTATGGGACTCCTCGGTAGTGTGTATCCACAATCCTGCATGCACGATTCATGATTTTAATGAAATTCATCAGTCTTTACAACACTAAACTGCTCACTTTTAACAAGCTTTGAGAAGGAATGACTTAAAGCTATAGTGAGAAGCCGTGAGCAGTGGAGTTCAACGTTGTTGAGTGTAAGACAGATGCCCACTGACGACAATGGAAGATGGTAGTGCGACATCGTAGATTGGTTGAAATTAGACATTGACACCGCTGGATATCAGCTTAGTGGTCTAGAGGTTAAATGTTCACGCGCGAAACGAAAGGTCCTGGGTTCGAGTTGTGCGTGAGGAATCGTGGATGCGCACTACTTAAGAGTCCCACACTGGGACAAAACATCTATCTAGTTCCTATAGGTGCTTATAGTGGTCTAACATCAGTCGGTTCATGATCTCAATTAACACTCAACAATCTTCACAATCCTCTTCTGGTAAGTTTGAAATTGTTTTACTTGGAGATAATTGCAAATATTACACCATATGAAGGTGTATGTTGCAAAACACAATGAAAATAAAATCTCTAATGATTCTTAAAACTATTTCTTTGGTCTAAAAAATAGTGATAAATTCTTCCAATAAATCAAACAACTGTTTATTACTTCTATGTCAATATTAAACAGATTAAAGAAAGATTTCTTTGATCAAACAACAACTATATAGTGGTAATTTGTGAAGTTACAAATCTTTAAACAGTGATTAGAGAAATAAAAACTTTGGCGAACAGTTGATAAAACAGTTTAAATGTGTGGGGTTTTTCTTTTTGTTTTCAAAAGATTTGTGAAACGAACTAATTCTATGAAATATTTTCATTAAAAACTTACTAATTTAACTATTTTTAAAATTGGTGTTCCGATTTTCGGTGTTAACATTGATCGAATGTAGTAAGTGTAAACTTAAGTCAATGCTAGTGTTATCAATTTACGCTGACACTTAAAATAAACGAATTCTCTGAACACAGTTGTATTTGAACTGATGATTTTTTTTCAGACACTTAGACAATTTTCATGGTTTGATTTCTGTGAAAATAGTGTTTACATGAAACTTTATCAAACACGAAAATGATAAACAAAATTTAGTCCAGAAGTTATTTTAAACTATAACTTATCAACTTCACTATATTCTATCCCTTTTAATTGTTCTGTAACACATTTGTTAAGTATTATTATTACAATAATTATCGTTTATATAAAACTAAAATTAGAATATTCTAATTCGAAAACATTTAGGAATTTTAAACAACAATTCAAATCTCATGTTTACCACGTAAATAAACAAATAATGTTGAGTTTAAATAACCTATGACAATAAATGACTTTCTGCCGAATTCTAATTTGCTCTCTTTCTTCAAGTAGTTTGATTAGAATAATATATATGATAAATTAAGATTCTTCATGATAATTTTCGGGACAAACTTGATTTATTAGTATGGCTAGTAGTAGTAGTAGTAGTAGTAGTAGTAGTAGTAGTAGTAGTAGTAGTATTAGTAGTAGTAGTAGTAGTAGTAGTAGTAGTAGTAGTAGTAGTAGTAGTAGTAGTAGTAGTAGTAGTAGTAGTAGTAGTAGTAGTAGTAGTAGTAGTAGTAGTAGTAGTAGTAGTAGTACTAGTGATAGTAATAGTAAGAACAATGGTGTTTGCATAAAATTAATTGGTCAACATAAGTGTTACTTTTAAAAATGATAACGTATTATTATTTACTTACTGATTTCTTTCGTTTATTGTTTGAAGGTATAAATGAATGATAAGTGATGCTTATGCAATTTCTTTAACTGGTAAATAAATATGATGAAAGGAAAAAAGGGAAATAAGGTATGGTGACGTAGAACAGAGAGAAACAGAGGCGAATTTTTTTCAATACGATTTAACGAGGAAAATACAATCTTTTTTTACCATCTTCGCGATTATTTTATATTCAATCGTTTTAAGTTACTTAAATTAATCACTAATTATATGGTATTGAGCCTTTGTTACTTTCATTTCAAGATTTTATAAATAAAAAAATCGCAAAGTAGTCGTCAAAAATGATTTTGGATATCATTGATTCTTTAGACCGTAGTGCATCTGGTTAATAAGAGTTTTATGAAATGAAATAAATAGTTCGCAAGTTTAATACGTATTCTCTTCACGATTAATGAGTATCGATTTTAATGGTTTAATCTAAGTTGTAACATCAACCACTTCGAAACTATGGCAAATTGTGAGGAATGTTTTTAAAATAAAAATAGAAAAATATTTATTTGGTCTTATTTTGAATGACTGAAGGAATTTAATTTCAGAAGAATTTTGATTTAGGCCTATTTTTCACATATTGCTCTACCAGTATGTTGCATTACAAACTGAAGATAAGTCTGAGTAAAATGACTTACAAATCATTGATTTGGATGATATGGGTTAAGTTTAACTAGTACTGATATTTCAAGTTGATAGTGTTTAATTGGAATTACAAGAGATTGGTGGAACTCTTTTCATTATACAAAACTATATAGACTGTTAAAGAGGAAAAATGTATTTGTAAAATTTCAGCGAATGAATTTGAAATACAAATACATTCTTCTTCTTTAATGCATCACATCAACTCGATGCTCAAATACTGTGAAACTATTCGATCAAATTTACACGAAATTTCTTATATATAGACTGTTTGTATTGATCATATCCATTATTGTGAACTAGATAGACAGGTTACCATAAAGCGATAAATGTTTTAAATCCGCATAAACTAAATTAATAATAAATAACTACTACACAGAAATGATCAAATTCATACCCACTTTCGGTTCTTATATAACTTTTCTAAGTTTTCAGAACTTAACCTAAAATGCTTACCCCATTATCCTTGAAACAATCAACTTATTTTTTTACATTTTGGCATAGAGTTTAAAAAATATGAAAGTCTAAGATAATATTATAACTATCAAAACCCTATATTATCTAGTGTTCTGAAGAGAATTACTCCAAATGGCATTAAGAATTTGTCTTGAAATCTCTTTATTAGTATTACTTTACTTGTTAGGCAGTCAAAGTTAGAAATGAAGGAATGACTTTCATTTGACTTCTACTTGGTTTAAATGTAAATAATTAACATTTCTTAGATTATAGTAAGCTACTTGCTTTTACACATATAATATTAGTTGAACTATTGCCTCGTTGAACTCCTTTCTTGTCACTCAAACAATCAGATGTGTCTCCAAAATATTGTGAACATTGTTCAGCCTTTGGTGAAAGATTATTTAAGTTTTCAATCCTTTGTTTTTTATATAGAGACAAACTTTGATTAAGATGCTAGTTTGCTCATCTGTTGTGTTTTGTACCCAGAGAGGTAGGTATTATACCCTAGATTTATGATCTATACAACTCAAGAATAAATACATGATACATATCTACATACGTGCACACGCTACCACTTTGTCTGATCTGCCAATGCAATAATAAATAGAACCGGTGTTACGTTGTAGTGTTGAAGATATTAGAATTCTTGGGAATACTTAACAAATTATCATCGTTCATATTTTTGGTAAATGGGAATTTTCACTATATTGAAATGTTCATATTTTTATCATAGAATTATTAAATGTCGAGATTACTGAATCTCGATTTTACGTGTACTGTGAGCTCCCTTTGGACTTATTAAAGATTGTCATGTATTTTGTTGGTTCTTGACTGGTGTTAATGAATTATGCACAGCTTGCTCCGTTCTTTGCCCCATATGGGATGGTTGTGTTTAAAGCATGATATCTTTGAGGTAACTTGCGGTCCCATAATTCATGCATTCAGGCTAATGAGTGCTTGAGATGATACTGTATGCACCTAATACAGTGATAAAAGCTTTCGTGGAACGTTCTCCGGTTCCGACCCAAAATACTACAGAAGATAACATAAGTATTCGTAGACCAATAAGAGCAAGACTATCTCGGCCTCAACTTGAATTTATGCATCCCAGTCGAAGGAAAATGGAACATACAAGTTAATACACGCGAGGAAGACAAATTTGTCGAGACTCTAATTAGCATATCATCTTTCAATATTAATTAACGTCTCACTCATAACAATCGGCCTTCTGTATTTTCGTTTCTAAGAGACTTCATATTTAACCTCCCACTGTCATTAAAATACAATAAGCAAGTTGAAATTTAAAACGCCAAAACAAATAATTATATAGAGACCGTTGTGCTGGGTATGGATCAAAGTGCGAAAATAACAAAGTGAAGTGCAGATTTTGGTTGCTATCATGAGTATTGATGTGGTATTTGTACGAACTAATGATTCCTTGGTTCTTGATTTTCCACTGATTATGAATTACAAATATAATACGTTCATTTGTGCTCGTTTAGTTCTACATGACTCATATTGCACTATTTTGGAAATTCTTAGTTATTCTATTAATTTGAATGCCTCTAATTATCATATGGTCTTCTCGATGGAGCCTGTGATTGGACAATTGGATATATATTAGAATTCTGAAGCCTTCGAAGATGCTAGAACTGCATGTGTTAATTATCAAGCGCTTTATGAAATTGACTTCTAAGGCATCAAAAAGTCGAATACAATACCTAGTTATCCTAATCTGATGCATACTGAGGTCATACAGGTAGGTATTTAATTAACGATAAATCTAGTTCTCGTTAGAGCATGGGTAAAAATTTGTTCAAGAATTGCAGAGCAGGTTACAGAGAGGAGCACAGGTTTGCTAAATGTTTATCTTGAGGTAAATTTCACCTGCGTAATTCCTGTGTCTTTCATCATGCCAAGTGCTTTAAGTGTGATAAAGTGGGACAAACCGAGTCGTTCTGTAGACCTACTGTTTGTTTTGCCACTAGTATTGATAAACCCTGTAGTTCAGATCTTACAAATTTGGGTGTTTCTAATGACCATTTGTCTCTTTACACGATTTTGAAAGCTAATTTTTATATTAATAAACAATTAGATACCTCCCTTGATTCATCCTATGGCTTTACTGTTGACAAAGGCAGTATAGAGTCCACTATTTCATTCAAGAAATTAAAATCTTTAGATTCTAACATTGTAGTGCAACCCATTGAAGTCTCGGTATGGGGATTATTGGACACAAACTACTCATACGAGGATGCTAAGAATTGCTATTGAGAGATGATAATTCATCATATATGCCTTGTGAGTTTTCAGTTAGTGAAACAGGACCGTCAGTACTGGGTTTGAAAAGGATTAAAGTGGAGTTGTCTTTACTAGTTTGTAAAACATTTCTGGTGCTTTACTTAAAGATTTGATAGTTGCGTGTGCTAAGTTAAATAAACGTATAAAAATTCAGCCTATGAAACTTCAAGTACGGAGTGACCCAGTCTTTCTTATAAGATAAGCGATTTATTATGGACGTTGAAAAACAACAAGTAAGACATTGAACGATTTGCGTGTAAAAAGTATAATTGAACGGATTCAGTCTTAAACGCACCTATTGTTATACTATGAAAGTCGGATGGTAAGACCCCTAAAATATGTGGTGACTATAGATTAATATTGAACTACCGTTCGATGAAGCAAACATGCACGACGTTTGAGGTTCAAGGTATTCTAAATCGACTACATAGTTCTAAAGTGTTCTCGATAGTTGACATAAAATATGCTTATCTTCAAATTCCTTTAGATCAATCTTCATGTATTTTGACGACAATTAACACTCCCTTTGGCCTATTCAACTGCACCATTTTTCCATTTGGTCTAAGTTGTTCTTCAGACATACTTCAGGAAGTAATGAGTAATGTAGTCAGTGGTCTTGAAGGTGTTGAAATTTATCAAGATGGTCTTATTATTCATGGTTCTGATTAAGCAGTTCATGATTGGAGACTTGTTGTTTTATTGAGTCGTTTAATTTAGAAAAATATTAGGGTGAATCCAAATAACCATTCACTTTGTGTATCTAGTTTCAAATGTCTTGGATACCTAGTTGACGGTAACGGTTTTAAACTAGGTATGAAGTGACTATCTCCACAGGCAAATGCACTATCTCTGAAAAGTCCTGCAGAACAACTTTTCTTGATGGACGCACTTTAATGCTATTCCCGTTAGATTTCTATTTTTCCTCTCATTATAATTCTTTATTTAAAATCTGAACACACAATTCATTTGAATGAGGTGAGGGACAAGAGTCATTCTTATGATGTCTTAACGTTTCTTCAAAGTGATGCCGTCCTTCCTACTCGCTCACCTAGTGTACATTCTGTACTCATTACTGATGCATCATCTGTGGGTATTAATGCAGTTTTGGAGCTGGAAGGTAGACTAGTAACCTGTGTTTCACGCAGGCTATTCACAAACGGATCGAGAAGCATTAGCTGTGTTTTGGGGCTGTTAAAAGACTTCATAAATATTTATTTGGGAAGATATTCACTATTTTTACAAATCATGAAGCCTCACGGTTCATTCATCTCCCTAAGAACAATCATCAGGAAACATAATTTTTGAGCGTAATTTCTACAATTCTACTACTAAAGAAAAACTATAATACAAATACATAAATCCTTACCACTACCTCTCCCACTATCCAGTTAACAGTTTTTTTCGTCACAGAACGATAAACTGCATTGCTAAATACGATCACGAAGTGCCTGAAAATCAACAAAAATCTTTCCAACAAATTAGAATCAAAATACCGTCTGCACGAACCAAGTCAAGCAGCAAATATTTCCATTAAACAGTCGAAACAGTAATGAACTACTCGAGCAATAACCTCGAGGTCTGTCAGATAGGAGTTTATTATCGGCTGTCCAGTATCATGAAATGATAGAATGAAATGACAATATATGTCTCAACGAAAGTCAAATGATAAAGCTTTATTCAAAGAAGTCTAGGAAATGTGACTTCAACGTAACTTAATACGTCATATCATTTTTGTTCAACCAGAGTGAACATGTAGCGTGGTGTCGAGCTGAGATTAGCTGTGAACACCGCTACAGAGAAACACGTGCCAAGTGACTCCATAAAATCCCCCGGAAGCCACATATCAGAAGGCAATTAATGGACCAAGTCGAGATATATTTGCTGGCAATCTCGTGGTATCGAAAGGATACCGAGATCGTGCCAGGATACAAGCTTGGTTACAGAACGTAACCGAATTCGCGCGAAGTCACAATCAAGGTGTGAGAATAAGAATGGAAGCACAATATAGCTGTCATTAGCACAGTCAAACAAAAGCACATTAAAACAAACACTGGTACAGTTGGTTATAATAATAATTGTTTTTATTAAACCAGTCGTGTTCTCGTGATAAATGTGAGTCACTACAAACAGATCATCTAAACAAGTCACTTACATTGGAGACCTACGCATTTTTAGTTAGTAAGGTAGCTCATTTAAAAATATAATTGCTAATGTACTCCTATGCTGCATAAATGTACTGCATATTCTTTGTACTTTTCATCTACAGATCGTTTAACGAAGGAAAGTTAATAAAAATGATGTCCTGTTTTTCGGATGTAACGCTGGTAAGACTCGGCAACAAACAAGCAGATACGTCTCACTCACAGTACAACATTTTGAGCCAATTAGTTTTGGAATCTCTACAGTTGGAAAAATGTATCTGAGTCCGTTGTATCTGCATGCATGACATAAAGAAAAAATGTAAAGTGCAGTTGCTTTTAAGCCATAAATGACTATGACTCTTAAAACGTTTACTTCCCGAACATTAGAAAGCAATGTGCCATCGACAGCACACAAATAAATTTTGCGGAGTCTGATGTGCATCAGCACAATCTTCGTCGGATTAATTTTTAAGCCCCAACTTTGGAACATCAAACTAATTCATCTAGGTCGGCGTAGAGCAAGATGATCAGCCTCACTACTTATTATTCTCCAGATTTTGAAACAATGTTGACGAGTTGTAGTGACTCACTTTTATCACGAGAACACGATTGGTTTGTTGAAAACAATTATTATTATAACCAATTGTACTGGCGACTGTTTAATAGGCTCTTTGTTTAACTGTGCTAAAAAGCATCCTTTATTCTCACACTTTGATTGTGACCTCACGCGAATTCAGTTATGTTCTGTAGCCAAGATTGTGTCCTGGCACGATCTCAGTATCCTATCGATACCACGAGATCACCAGCGAATATATCCCGATTTGGCCCATTAACTGCCTTTTGATATTTGGCTTCCGGGGGGATTTATTTGGCATATGTTTCTCTGTCGCAGTGTTCGTAGTCAATCTCGACTCGACGCCACGCTAGAGACTTGTGATGTCCTCATACTCCGTTAACGTAGAAAGGAAAAAAAGGGGATCTAAGTGCTTTGAGATACACCACTTTCAACTCCCATCAAGATAATGTCCCATTTACCCCCACCCTTTATTTTCGAATACAGATGAAGTTTCTTATCCACTCTTGTAAAGTACTTGTTATTCCAAGTTTCAAGAGACTCTGCATGTGCCCTAGGTGAGAGATCTCATCGAAGACTTTGCTAGAATCGATAAATATCACATCGACAGGTAAGCCGTATCCATGTACACCTGTCCAATCATTTTCGAAATCAGCAAGTTAGTTTAGGATTAATGCTTAACTCGGAACCTATATTGGTTAGCTAACAGATTGCATGATTCTGCGTGGCTTGGTAACTCTGCCCGAATTATTTCCTCAAGTAGCTTAATTAATATGCTGATAGAACTGATAGGTCACTATATAAACACGAATGATCTTTTTCACGCCTAAATATAGGGCCAAAAATACCATCCTTCCAATACCTAGGGAGATGAGTTTCGGAAAGGGACATGTCTAGCACCATTGTGAGTGGTTCTGAAATAGTGTCCACAAGGAATGATCACATTCTTGGATGCAACCTCTTAGGACCCGGTAACTTACTAGATCTGAGGTTAATGGGCAGTTGTGAAGGCTTTTCAAGTCACGTGTGCTGGTCCTATAGCTGCTATTCCAGTGATGCTGTTGTAATAAGTGTTAACAAAACTCATAGAGTAGACCCGGTGATACATATTCAGCTTTGCTAATATAACGTACTGTTTGTCAGTAACATCGTCACAGTGGTGTGTAAACGCTAAATTCAGCAATGATGGTTTATGTTCTAAGTCAATATTTGCCGCTTTTGCGGTGAATTGTACAGTTGCGCATTGAATAGTAGTTGTCAGTAGGAGCCGTTAAAGCAGATATAAGCTCTATATGACTTGTGTTAAGAGCGCTGAAATCTCCAGAGATGAGACAATGAGTCGTACTCCACTCGCTGATATGACTTTAGCAAAGTTGTCAGCACGACAACGTACGCTATGGTATGTTCCTAACGAGGTCACAACTCCGTATATGGAATAAAATGTCCAATAAGCTACCTCACATGCGCCTCAATTGTGTGTCTTCGATTCACTCGATTTTACTAGTACGTAATATCAGGCTTCCTCCATTTTAATTTAAAAATTTACCACTTCTAATACAAATTTGTCTCGCAGTGTCCAAAGAACGGTCTACATCTGCAATAAGCCACATTTCTGTAACAACATTTATATCAGGACCCAGTTGTTCCATCATTAAAATTAGCTCATACGTTCTAGTTCAAGACTGCGAGCGTCTGTGTAGCACACGCGTCACTTGTGCAATATTGTTATCGCTAAAAATACTGCGAAACCATTTGTGAATCTTCCTAAAATTGAGAAAAACCCATATAAACAGAGTCAGTTTTATGTGTTTCGGACTTTGGTTGTATGCACAAATCCTAAATGCAGATAGTTTAGAGCATGATCTGATGTACACAATAGGGACAACGCCCGAGAAAATAAAAACACGGTAAAGCACAGTAAGCTGTGGGCGTATTTTTTAGATTTTGCGAGTACTTAAACCCTTGAATTCATTGTTGTCTGAAGTAATTCAAGCCATTTTCCATGAGTCATTCAAGAGGAAAATTCACATATAATAGAGGACTCAGGACAATATTTCGCTGCAATTTTTGAATGTTTTTCCTACGTTTATTGGATGTATATGAGTTTGAGGAAGCCACAATATCGGGAGATTGGTAACGCCCTTACCAGTAACACCTTTATAATCGAAGTATTTCAAAGTAGTCAAATCAGAAGTTAAAAATAAAGAAATTCAAAGGTATATTTGGAAGACTATCGGTATGTCGAAGGAAGCTTGATTTAAGCTGGCTGATAGTCGGATGGGATGTGTAGCACGGTGTATCCACTTGTGATATGGCGTGGATGCGAAAGTGAGAGCGTTTAGTTGGGCAAGTGCAGTAAAACTAGTGAAGTTAGCATCACATATTGACTTACAGAGCTATTGGATTCGTGGATTTATTTACCGCTGCAGGTTCTTACCTGGAGGCACCGGTGATCCACTGCTACCAGATGCGGAAGCCCGTTAAGTCAGAGATTTTCCTGTTCAGCCCATAATCATTCGTGCAATTCAGGTTTGGTGATTATCTAAAAATATAAATTCAAACAAAGAAAAACCATACGAAAGAGAACGACGGGCATACTTTTGACATAGACACTACATAAGACTAACTGTGATCGTAACTTAGTTTTATTAACGCAAGAACATATCATAACATAGCAGGTGAGTAGAAAAGCCAAGAAAGAACAATACACCCGTGGCATACAGGTTTTCACATCGAGTCATCAATACTTGGAAACTGCTGCCCGAAGTAGTGATGTCCGCACTTTCAGCTGACTTTTTCAAAATAAGACTGGACACTCAGAGAAGCATACTAGAAAAGAAATAACATAGACCATGGGCCTTCTGTCCTAATCATACAAATCTGAATCTGAATCTGAAAACCTTGCTAATTAACCGCGCAGACCAAACTCAAGGTTAAAGAGTCGTGAGTGGCATTACAAGTATCCATATTAATCGATCGGTGAGACAATTCGAAGTAACCGTATTTGATGTTGTACAGCACTTTATCGTTTTTATACTTATACCATACTGTTTTTTCATCATCAAAGTGCTGAGAAAGCTCATATGGTTTCGGTGATGTTCCCAATCTCCAAAGTTTAAGGAAATTTTGAGGAAACCTACAAAGTCAAATGACCTTCACCAAAGTTAAAGGAAAATTTTTGGGAAATTTTAGGGTTTTGGTGCCGTTTCCCCAAAGTTTACAATAGCGGTTCCCTTAAAATTTTCCCCGAAATCGGGAGCTCGAGTTGATCATCCGTTTCTACAGTATAAGATACTTCATTTCTCTTTTAGCATAGTTTCAACACACCTTAAAACCCCACTGCCCTTTCAGCTTGATTTTTTTTAACTTTTTAGTTATTAATGTGATCCTACAATGCTTTGTCATCCCATGGGACAAATGTTTATTGCGTCTCACTCTCAGATTTAAAAACTGTACTAGAGACAATATCAAATTTACAGTCTGAGCGCTACAACTATTACTTTTTTCATTGTAATAGGTCTTGTTATTTACTTCGGGGCACCATAAATTCACTTTGCGTGTCTATATTTTGCGTATCCCTACTACTTTTCCCTCAACTAGAGTAATGGTCAGCTGACAGTTATTACTAAATGGTACAAAGACCCTCTGACACTAATTTGAAATCTATGAAATCCTTCAGTGTCCTAAGGCTTTAGTAGCTTCATATCTATAAAATACTGCATGTTAGGCCACTAATCATTGAAAAGTAGTGTGTTGAGTGCTACTCAAAGGTCAGTAATGGTTCACGAGCCTTTAAAATAATCTAACTATGACTGCGCTTATAGTCTGTCCCTGCCATATATTGAAGGTATAAATCCTTTTATGGTAAGAGAGAATTGGTCCTAATGATCAAATCTATGGATTACCATCCACGTCTCAACACTGCGGAAGTTTAGACATTGCGTCTTAGTACGGCATTAGCAACTAAGAAACTGCCAGTTTCGTCCATAGCTTTTACAGCCATTTGCGTTGCCTACACTAAATCGAAACTATTTGATCCCTTTGTGTAGAATCTGTTTTATACTCCAAATGGATGAATTCGAGGAGTACAGGTATGTTACTTTGTTTTCATATCTCAGTGATTTAGAAATCCACTTACTAAGAGATATGCAAGCCGTGAAATGGTGTGCAATTTCGGAGAAAAGCGAAAAGTTATCCTCTGGCGTCAACTGTGGATATGGTTAGCAGAAACACAAAAAGAGTTGGGATTCGATATCACAGGTAGGCTATCATCAGATTCTAGTTGGATGTGTTTATTTTCTAGAGACTAAGATGGAATCTCCATGTGTTTACGAATGCCAATGATGAACTAAGCTAATTTTTTACCTAATGTATCTGTAGTTAAGGAATCTAACATCTTGATTCGGGAACTAGATTAGCTGTAGTAGTTCACGCAAGTCGAAATCGTTTTCTGCAGTACTTTATTCCCTGAGTTCATGTAATATTTACAGTATCAAACTGAGTAATAAGACAGTACGTAGTAATTTCTGTCTTCATATCCTTCATTATTATATTTAAAATTACACCTAATAGTGATTGTAGATAAGCCTAGTACATGTGCCACACTTTTTTTTCATGCTACCTGGATATCAGTTAAGCGAAAGATTAAAGATTGTAAGAAGCAACATACTCCATTTCATCAAGGTTCAGCACTATATATATATATATATAGAGAGAGAGAGAGAGAAAGCGTTGGGCATTTCGTTTTCTGACTTGATAGGTGTTAACCTGTAAAATGTCGGTTCCCCAATGATCAACAGTGTGTGGTTTAATTCCTTCATACCTTATTCAGCACTTTGTCGTTTAGTATTTTTCCTAATCTATTTGTAAAGTGACATTCCATGCTCATATTGTACTTGTATTGCTTGGGCTATCTAGCCTATCTGGTTCAGTCAGTCAGTCAACTTTTATCCTTCTTGATGCATTTTTCATACCTATGTCTTGTATCTAAATTATGCATTTCTCCGCTCACAGGATTGTTGTTTTATTATATGACTCTCCAACACTGATTTAGACGAACAGATTGATGAAATGAAAAGTCAAAGGGATTTAGTCGATTTCGGGACTGCCGCAGCTGAAGAAAAGGCTCGGCGACATGACGTGATGGCGCATGTATACACTTTTGCTTTAGCTTGTCCAAAAGCTGCACCAATCATTCACCTCGGTAAGTTTACGTGTTAAATATTATTTTTAGTTAATTGGTTATGCTGTTTCGAAAACATTTTATCTATTTGAACACGTAAACATTGTTACAAGGGGGCACCAAATATATGCGCCACACAATAACAATGAAGCCAGCAGTAGTTACCATTGGTTTCTGTGAGGGCTGCTGTACTGCCTGGGTGTCGAAACCGAAGCAGGATTTATAAAACAACATTTTAGTTTCATTTTTAGTAAAACCTGGCAATATAATCAGAGTTCAAACCATATACTGGGACATAAGGCATGCCTATTTTGTGTAAAGTAAGCTCAATTGGTGGGTGCTAAATAAAAAAGTAATCCATGACTTTATTATATACACAGCTTAAACTGAAATTATGTGCAAATCCAGTTACAAGTCGTGTTTACTACCGATATTTTTAAGTAGTAATGTGTTTTTGCTAAGGAGAATTTGGGCTATCTAGCTTCTATAATCACATACTAGTTCGTTTTTTCCAAGGATAACCTTGATAGAATTGTCCTGATCCATACTCCCACAATGACTTTTATTAACATCTGACTGGTTGTCATCATTTTTAGATTGCCAACTTTGCATCCAAAAGTCACTGGACTTTACCATGTAGACAGAGTTGCTCTATCCCAATTTTTGACGTCTGTTGGGAATATGAAGCTATCCTGAAAGCATATGCATTACTAACGCAGAAGCATCGTTATGTCAGGCATCCGATTTTTTCAAATTTTCATTCGTTTGCGTTCGTATTAGTAGTTTCAATTGTTTGTAATCAGAATTTACCGTTAGGCTGTACTGGAGACTAAATTCTATTGAGGTCTAACAATCATTCTCAGTTTTTTTTCAAACTGTTAACCAGATTGCAATCGATCTCCTAATTTTCAGTTCGTTACCGTGATCAAATCGGTGATTATATCCCGCCTTTTGTTAAATATAGTTGGTTTTATGTTCGTATTACTATACACACGTTTCTGTTCGTTTAATAGGGATATCTCTGTCAGTTGGTAGCCTAATAACAGTATCCCACTGTGTTGTGTTGAACAAGCTTCATAAGTCACAAGGAAATAAGAGGATCTAACTACTACAGGACGTTCGTAAGAATATTTGTATTTTAAGGCCTGAAGAATAAACATCATTTTCGGAAAGTAATGAAAGCCTGTATCAAGCGGGATTTCAGGTTATAAGAATGGAAGGTTGTTTCTAAACACTATTCGACCTGTCTTTCTGGCCGGTAATATCTGCATGCACGCAGTACGTAGTGATAATCACATATTATAAAGACTTCTGCTCAACTGTTTGTACAATTTTAAGATATAAATGCACTTGGAATAAAAGTTAATATTGTTTGTCTTCAAATATTATTGTAATCCCTAACAACTTACTTGCGAGCTCATTACCATAAATATGCTATAAAAACTGACACTAATAAAGTTAGTTATAGGAAAAATAATTCAATGAAAATACATTAGTTTTAAGCCAGTACCGCATATGATTGTTATTGCTTCTGTAAGTAGTGTCTCTGTAGAATGTAGCGTTATTGATGTTTAGATTCACCCTTCAGATTTTTAATTCTCAAATTTATTCTTGGAGCTCTTAACGCCAAAAATTAATCTAACTTTACTATGAAGTGTTCAAAGGACTGAAATGCTCTCACATGGCCACGTGCATAAAGCCACTGTCAGAGAAGTCTTTCTCACTGCCTTCTCGTAATGGAAGTCTTGTGTACGGGATTGAGAGGACGAAAAGTGAATGTCCGGCGCTTTAACCGGTTTTGTAGACACGGAGACTCCACCCAGGGAAGTTGAAAAAGCCTGATTCCAAACCAATAGTGGACATGGGCTCCAGGATCCTAAGGAAACAAATGGTATGTGAAACTATTGTTGATCACCAGCTACCATGAGACTGCACTTCCTAAAGTTTGCTCCACTGTCTTATGGGCTGGACCTCTAGGTCAAAGGCTCGGGGTGTGACTTCCTATGGAAACCACCTGTCTCGGTTTGGGCGCCCGGGCAATATTCCGGCCTTCACAAAAATCGAATGATAAAGTGTGGCGCATATCTATTTGGTGCCCCTTGTACCAGTGTTTATTCGCTTAACTGATAACAATAGGAATAAGAATAATGTAACAACCCATATGGAATGCACTAACATTGCAATTCTTTGTGTACTGTTCCATATTTCTGTTTACTGAACACAATATAACGTAGTTACTCATTTCAAAAAATTCCATAATGGATAATACACTACATCACTTATTTGGTGAATGTATAATTGTCAATTAGATTTAAGGTTCTCAATCTCTTATATGAAGATGAACAAATTAGTAGTATGTAAAGGTTATCTAGTCAGTAATAACGCTGTTTCACTGCATGTAATCGAACCATACGTGTTTAGTTCTATTCGTTTATTCATTGGATCCATTTGTGAATGAAATAAATTAGCCGATAGTTCTGAATCATCAAAATATTGAAGTCCAGTTTCTTCTCTCAGAGTTTTCAGGTAGTCGTAAACTTGAAAAATATTATCCCCTGAGGTTTTTTTCTATTATATGCAGATTTAAGTTCTTAATCTCCTTTTCAAAACATAAACATTATTTTTAGCAAACCACGTTTTAATTAATTAACACGCACATATTTATGTGTATCACTGATATTGTCTGGTTTGGTTTTAATATATATACAGGTGCAACATCATGTTTTGTTGGTGATAATGCCGATTTAATCATGCTTAAGGATGGTTTAAATATACTTTTACCGAAGGTTGCTAGATGTATTGACCGGTTAGCTAAAAAAGCTATGTTGCACAAGAGTTTAATATGCCTCGCTCGCACCCATTTGCAACCCGCTCAACCTACTACAATGGGTCGTAGAATATGTATGTGGATACAAGATTTGTTATTAGATTTAGAGAATCTAGAAAGGTTGAAGAACCACACAATTCGTTTTCGTGGTGCTAAGGGTGCAGTAGGAACTCAAGCATCTTTTATGGATCTATTTCAAGGTGATCATCAAAAGGTTAGCTTACTTACTCTTGTGTCTTTTTATTATTCCATGATTATTCGTTCAAATAAAATATATTGTATTTCGAAAGGATTCGGATACTTGGCGCTGGATTATTCCGGTCTACCTCCAAATTATTCTGCCTTAAGTACCTAACGTCTTATGGGATCCCAAGAGAGCAATGAATACAGTTCTTGAGTTACTGTCATTCTTCAGGGTTATCGTAAAAATGCTGTCAAAAGATAAAGTCTGGCGTTATTTAACTACATATATTTTATAGCGTTCCTATTTTCTTCTTTGGCGAATATGTATTTTACGGCCATCGTACGAAATGCTTTAGTTTAGTTGTGTAGAGCAATCATTTTCATATTCTCCGATGATTGATGCCTATCTAGTGGGGTAATCTTACAGCACCAAAGTAATAATGTGCGCCTGTTTCGGAAATGCTCCAATTTCAGGGTGAAAATGATTCAAGTTTTTAGAATATATCTTGTTATATCTAAACAAAAACTGAAATGGCTCAACACGAGGAAAATGCAGAAAGACTATATATGAAGATTTATCGTGTCAAAACAAATCAAAAACCATGTCCGAATATACTGAGTTACATATTTTTTGCCTATACTAATCAATATTCGAATTTGAATAAATCGAATTGGGTAATACTAGATATTGATTATTCGGTAACTTAATATCCAGACACAATTTCCATCAATAAATTGGATTTTTATTATTAAGGAACGTAACTATCTTACTAAGTTACATCATTACTCCATACTAACACCTTCCCCTTTTCACTTGAATTGATATATATATTCTTTTAAACCTTTTTGTGATGTTCTAGATATGAATTATGTTAGCGTCATGTAGCGGCTATTTATAGTGAATTCTATTTTACAGGTTATCAAATTGGACGAAATCTTAACCCAAAAGTCTGGATTCCAGCGTTCCTGGTGTGTAACTGGTCAAACTTATCCAAGAAAAGTAGACAGTGAGATCTCTAACGTGTTGTCGAATATAGGTGCAACTGTTCATAAAATATGCACCGATATACGACTGCTGAGTAGTTTTCACGAAGTTGAGGAACCTTTTGAAACCAAACAAGTAATACTTTTTTCTAATTATTTGTTTAATGTCCAAACATATTTAAAAATGATTTCATGATAAGAAACGATCTGAGTTATGGATTTTCCAGTGTCGTTGTTGGCAATACTCCTAGTAATACTTGTATTCTGATACAGATCTCACCTATCATAATATACTCTTAAATGACTGCATGATCAAGAACGGTTTTAATTCGAACAAAATTGATATGTCTTTATACGAAAAGTAAGACACTGTTAGAAGATGAGGTTTTATTTCACCATCCAAACAAAATATAGCATTTCTTTTACAAATACATTCATTTATATACAGGTCTATTTGAATTGATTATCCATAACCGAATCCCACACTGAATGTTTGCATAACGTACTGGTACACCTAACTGACACAACAAATTTTATAGAAACAGGTGTTAATACCGAACGAAATATCATACTGAATTAATACACGACCTCACACTCCACCTGATCCTAGCAACAACACATCGTGAATGTCTCAGGTTTACTCTTCACAATCATATATATATATATATATATATATATATATATATATATATATATATATATATATATATATATATATATATATATATATATATATATATATATATATATATATATATATATATATAATAGTTTATCTAAAATCATTACGATAACAATTAGCTGTTAAAATATCTTCTCATTTGCAAATTTGCTGACTTGATGAATAAGGGATCAAGTTGTAAGTTTGAACTTTGCTTCACATACTTCGTTTTAACAGCTGTATGGTATCGTTCGCCTTCAACCAAAAATTTTAGCTCAACACTTAGGACACAAATTCATACTTGGCTACTGAGTTGCATTATACTGTTCCATTATAACATTTTATAAATTAATTTAGGTATCAAGTATATTACACACCTATCACTTCCGTACATATTGTTGATAGGGTTTTCAGATTCAACTTAATGTTATGATTTGATCAATAAGTGTTCCTCACTGACTCTCAACTATTTGTTGATAACGTAGTGAGGAAACTTTTGATCACTTTCATTGAACTAAGTTTAATGAGCTCTTCCAATATAGAATAGTTTCATCTAGCTTTTACTTCACTTCATTTTGCATTTCTGGAGAGAGTTATAAGCATGGCTTGTGTTTTACAGGTGAGTTCTGAAGCATTTCGAGAGAATCGAATCTTATTGTCTGTTACAATAATGTTATCAGTACATTCTTTTGGCATTGTTTGCACACAATCAGTGGTAAGACCCATCAAAGTAGTTGTGGGTCGATTTCACCTAAGGAAGATCTGATTATCTTTTGTTTCAATAAAAAAGTCCCATTAAAGATTTCGGAAACGATGATGAACTCCCTTAAATTATCAATATTATCTCATCGACCAAACAAATGAAATTATTCTAACGCAAAATTATAATATTCTTATGGAGTAATACCTTACACAAGGATAAGGGACGTAAAGCAAAACATGGTACAGACTCATACTCTGTACTTTAAACTTTCTATTAGGTAAGGAGGTTAATAATACCAACTGACTGAGAAAAATCATGTTACTGAAGTAGTATAACTGATTTTCTTACAAGTTCATTATGATTTGTCCTTTGGAAATTCCGGAAAAATCACTTATTAGTTTTTCGTACTTTTGTCAGTATATATGAATACTTGAGTCAAGATCAAGTCGGAGCATGCTGATTGGTTAATTTCCAGTTGATCAGCCCTTTTAGACTAGAAGATTTCTGTGTACATTTTATACGAACTCTAGCGTTCTTACCACTATATCTTTCGATGTTCAGATTTTTGGAATATATTTTCGTTCGTTTTTTATTCGTGTTCTGATTTGGTACTAATCGAGTGAAGTATTTTATCTAAAGCATACCAAACGGTAAACATTATAATAAGCTTTTTGTTGTCCTTCGGTTATGAACTGAAATACCGGTTATAATTCGATTTTCGATTTACAGATCAACTCTAATTTACTGACAGCTCAGACTAGTATCATTTTAACACTCCAAAATAACAAACACTACAGTTTTCTCTCTGAAACTGCTTCGTTATTCAATAGTTTATCTACACTGGTACATAGCACTTCATTTAGCTCACATTTTGTAGCCTATATGTTTGCTTTGTTTTATACCAAGTGGCTTATCGAAATCGAATGTATCGATTAATATGAAAAGAAATTATTTTAAGGTTTGATTTTTTCATTGCCAGATAATTTACGTATAAGAAATGATTATGTACCATAACTGATACGAGGATTAATATAAATTCAATAGTAACGCTCTATGTTAAACTGTTAAGTTCATTGTCTGTTCTAATAATATTGGCAAACAATACTTGGGAGTATATCTATTTTTTTCGCCAATATGAACTTTATTTCAGTTTAAATGAGTCAAATCATCATTCATTCATGTGATGATAATATTATATATTACTTTTTGTACACTTTGCCAATAGTTCATGCATTCGTTTTTCATCACTTGAAATGTATATTATTACTACTATTAAGTTCATAACATTTAAATTGTTTACCATTTTGTGTACATATGGTATTTTGTTTTATTTTATTTTATTTGAACACATAAATATTGGTACAAGAGGTTACCAAATATATATGCGCCACACAAAACAATGAGAATTCGAAGAGAAGGGAAAAAATTGAAAAGTAAGGAGCGTTTAAAAAAAAGAACAATAACGAACAGATTAGTGTAAGGTAGTGTAATAATAATAATAATAATGGGGGAAACAGAAACGTTCAATCAGAAGCAATCTTTCAGTTAAGGAAGAAGCAACCACTTTTTATGAAGAAAGTAAAAGAAGATTACAGCAGGATCACCACTGGCTTTTATTCTGAGCCATATCTGATAACGTCTCTAGCCACTGTGTAGATATGGTATATTATATTTCATTCATATATTTATAAAATTTGTTCATACTCCTGTAATTCATTTTAATAGTTTCACTATATCTAATTCATGTTTAATTGTACAAATTTAGATCGGTTCAAGTGCAATGCCATATAAACGTAATCCTATTCGTTCAGAAAGAGCATGTTCTTTAGCACGTTATCTAATGCATATATCGACTTCCATGGTTTCTACAGCATCTGTTCAGTGGCTTGAACGTTCATTAGATGATTCAGCTATTCGTAGGATTGTTCTCCCAGAAGCTTTTCTTGCAGCCGATGCATGTCTTACTTTGCTACAAAACATAGCTGAAGGATTAATAGTGTACCCAATGGTATGTCCAGTCTTTGACGATTTGTTTATTCGTTATGAAACAATTCTCTATAGATGCCTTTGGAATTTCAATATCTTAATTGTATTAATTTTTTAAAAAATTAATTCTGAGAGTCATATGGTATACAGTTCTTTTTAATCAGTAAACTAATTAAACTTGAAATTTACTATTGTTCTCTACTGTAGTATTATGTCTCATTAAACTGATATTAAGATAATTAATTTAATTGCTGTTCAACAAAACAGTTGATCATATTATTAAAATCATTAGTTAAAAGTACATCCATGTTATGAAGCTAAAACTAAGTCAATACGTTCAGTGAAGTAGAAGCCCCAAAAAACTCGAACGCAATTAGTTAATGTTTATTCTTAATCAAATTCCAGAAGCGAATGAGAAAAATATAGCCCTACGAACATAAATTCAATCGAAATAATAAAATAACAGCCTTTACCTGAGACACTTTTCACCAAGAAATTCATCAAATCTATAAAAAGAGTTTAAGATAGTCTAGAAGAAGCACATACTTAGTCCACTATAAGGCAATCAAGTAAACTCTATTACTATATAAGTTATTTATGAAAGGCTGAAGGGAACAATCATAAGTTCTGTTAAGATGGGATAATAAAACTTTGTTTTAATGTCAATAACCATGAAAGAATGTATATATTACTTCTTTACGTCTGTTACTCCTCGAAGAGGAGCATGAACTGCCCACCAAGATTTTCCATCGAACTCTGTCTTGAACAATCCTTCACAGTTGCTATTCATTCTTTTGATGACAGTTTACAGTTCTCGACGCAAAGTATTTCTTAGTTTTCCTCTTTTCATTGCTTTCCTTTCTTTCAGGATTCCATTTTAGGACATGCCTCTTGACGCAGTTTTTTTATTTCCGCAGTGTATGTCCTATCCATCCGCAGCATATTTTCCTTGTTCTCTGCTATGGGGAGGTTGTTGTTGACAGTATCCGACCAACGGATCTGGATTATCTTGCGTAGACAATTGTTTATAAATAATTTTACTTTTTGAAGATGGTTATAGTAGTTGACCAAGTTTCAGCTCCGTACAACAGAACTATCTTGACGTTCGTATTGAAGATTCTGAGTTTGATGTTGGCTGACAGTTGTTTTGAGTTCCATATGTTGTTCAATTATGGGAATGCGGCCCTTGCTTTTACGTCTGCACCGGATCCTCCTTGTTCATCGATGATGCTCCCCGGAGCATATATATATATATATGTTATAACTTGAAAAAAGCTGATTTTTCTTGATACAACTGCATATAACCGAGCACTAGAACACCAAACCCTTCCAAGTCGCAATAAGAAGACAGAAGACTAACGAAAGGAATATTATTCCAAACAGTGTCAAACATAGTACAAAATTATCAAGTATTTATAGTGTTTAGTGAGAACGAAATCATCATTACAGTCTTCCAATCCGCGTACAGGGGGTTATTAGCATTATCCAATGGGGAAGCTACACGTTGGAATTCTAGAACATTCTTCCGACAGGTGATTGGATGGAACGTCTTCGGCTCCTTCTGAGCCTCTTACAGCTTCCTCGAGTTCACTGGTGGTCCGTCGTCACAATATATATATATATAACCGTGGTATACAGAATATATCAGGTTCGATAGAAGTAATAATGTGGCAACAAATTATCTTCTAGATTACAGTTCTTTTCCTTAACAAAGCACGTTAATTAACAGGTGGATAGAGTATTTGCTGTACTTAGGGTACATCTTAATATTTCCGTACTTTGTAAAACAGTTCATACCCTCAAATCAAACACAAATATAATTAGCGTTTTATCAAATAGCATTAGTGTTGAAAGTGGTTGTCTGATTACGTGTATATTCTCCATTGAACATTATCTTAAATGTATATTTCAACAACCAATATGGTTTTGTCAATAGTTTGTATGCACAAATGCGCACTTATCACGCTTTCATATTTATATTTGACTACCTCATTTTGTCTTGTGACAAGAAAAGTGATGTGTGTATATCTTCGTTCAATTTTATTTTCATTTTTCAACAGGTGATGGGAGCTAATTTAAATTCTGAACTTCCTTTCCTCGTTGTTGAACGTATTTTGGTCAAAATGGTGTCTGAAGGCGCAGCCAACCGTCAGGAATGCCATGAACGCCTTCGTAAGCATAGTCATGAAGCTGCTGCAGAAATTAAATTAAAGGGTTTAAAAAATAGTCTCATGGATAAGTTACTCAACGATGATTATTTTACCCCGATACATTCGTTACTTCCAAATTTATTAGATCCATCTTATATGATCGGTCGTGCTGTCGAACAGGTAATGATTTTTATCACACCTGCTTTACTGTTAAATATCAATAACAGTTTTATAAAATTTGATTACACAATCGGGTAGCCTGTTGTTGTACTGGTATCGTTCATGATATTCTGATAAGGAAGATGTTAATGTACGTGGGATCTATAAGATAAAAATATTTTTTAAAATAAATATTCTAGTTTACTAAGAGAGGTGTTATGTAAAAAAAGCACGGAGTACCATTTTGAACATAACTCCTTAATTTTCGAAATATCATGGCTTTACCCTATATCCAGTTAAATCGAATGACACTTTTTGTCGTCTCATGTAGATATTTTTCGTAATTTTGACCATTTGTACATTTATTTACTAGTGTTGTAAATTTTAAGGTTTTTTTTCATGCATTAATATCAACTGAAAAACTGCTGAGAACTAGGAAGCACTAGACAGCTAGTTTTAAACTTGGTAACAACGCACACTTAGAAACTTTTGATTTCTTGATAACTATGATACTCTTAGTCTACTGAGTCGAAATCCAGTAAGTCATGATTCCAACACCAGTCATTTTGCTGTTTGATGTGATCATCATTTAATGTCATCGGTGATATATCTTTCATTTTTGATATGACCTGATTCCGTATGTCGAATTCACACTACAACCCTTTGAGTATATGACTGTCATCAAGATAAATAGTTTTGTGGAAATTATTAGATTTGGAGTTATCTGTCACTGCTGACTGATATCCATGGGTACATTTTACTTATGGTCACGGGATTTCAGTGTACGTCTAACTGATCGAATAATCAATAACACGCCGTGTGTATAACTTATATTCACGTGACACAGAGACAGACCAGACGGGAAGGCCATACAATTCACATTTTTCTTTACATTTTCTACATGCTCTTATTCCATCACTAGTCTTTTCAAGGTCAATATAACTAAATGAAATATCGTCTCACCAGCCAATAATTTTTTTTAGTTTACATTCAGAATGATGGTAAAATAGAAGTTGAATTGTCTGGACTTTGTTAGCTAAATATTTAATTTCTTCATTTCTTTAATATTTAGGTGGAAGTATTCTTAGACACTGAAGTTGACCCAGCAATTCACTCATACAAAGATTCTTTAGCATTGAACAGCAATATCACAATTTGATATGACAACTTTATAAATAGTCAAATTGTAGTTAACTTTTACTTCCGTTCATTTCTCTTGACATGTTTGAATAATTAACTTTTGTTATGGATTTTTACTGCAATTTTTCAATTCTTTTGATTTTAATATTGCTCTGATTTCCTCCTTTTTTCCATAATATTCATTAATTTGATCCAATCTTTATGTGGTATCTATAAAATTAATTTTTAGGGTTCCATGATATTGTTGAACGTTGATTAACCAAATCATGGTATGTTACAATGTTATGGTCAAATTGTATAAGTCATCAAATATAGCTCCGTTAATTACATTAGTTATAGTCAGTCATAAGTAACGTAGAACTTGGCACCTATCTACATCAGTTCAAGTTGCTAAATGATACCAAAACGGTGAGATCCCAGAGTTGTCAGTCATAAGCAAGGTAGGACTTGGCACCTACCTATATCAGTTCGATTTGCCACATCACACCAGGACAGTGAGACCGCGGAGTGGTATAAGCAGTAACATTACCAACATCGGTAACCAGGTCGTATAACAGAAATCGATCTCATTATCTATGTTCTCAAAATGGTAAAATAATCTACTGAAGTGCCAGACGCCAAAAAGAAGATTTTATCTGTTTGGTGTTATATCCTTCATCCGATTATTGAGCAACTAGATTTTAGATCAACCTACGTTGTACTAGGGTTCTGTACTAGAATTCAGAGAAGTTTATGGTGTCGAGTTTGTAATTTTAAAAAATGTTGCAAATTCATCTATTGGATTTCAACAAGGCTAATATCTACTGTGATGGTGATTTCCTTTAATTTTAAGACCTAATTAGAAAGGACAAAAATTCTAGTTTGATAACTACAGAAGAATCAATCCGATTGGTATAGTTTCTAAGATACTATCCTCTATAATCTTTTGAAGCGTAACTAAGGCTCGTAATGAGTAAACCAGACTGGTTTCATACCGAGACTTTAATGTACCAACCAAATATTCACACTCCATCAGGATTTAGAACTCCGCCTGTAGCTCTTCTAGAGTTACTGCCGGTCCCAAGCCCGGGTAAAGGAGGAGGGTTGGGCATGGGGTTAGCGTCCCCATCCCGTAGAAAACTAACTCGCTAAAAAAACGCTTACCAGAAAAAATAATTCAAACCATTTTAACTCTGCCCTGAAAGTTAGGTCTTCATTTAGAAGAATTATGACGCTTCATGGTGAAAGCCGAGTTCCTTCGGAAGCCACGAGGCCGATGCCCCTTCTAACAACCAGAGCAAAAATTCTTATAGGTACATGGAACGTTCGAACAATGTGGGAAACCGGGAAGACCAGCCAAATAGCAACGGAAATGAGGAGATACAACTTGGCAGTACTGGGAATCAGCGAAACCCACTGGACCCAAGCTGGACAGAAAAGGCTAGCTACGGGAGAGATGCTGCTATACTCCGGTCACGAAGAGGAAAATGCTCCACACACTCAGGGAGTTGCTCTAATGCTGTCCAAAGTAGCACGAAATGCACTTGTAGGATGGGAATCCCACGGATCCAGAATCATCAAAGCATCATTCAAAACAAAGAAGGAGGGGATCTTAATGAATATTATCCAATGTTATGCACCCACCAATGATAGCAACGACGACATTAAAGATCAATTCTACGAGCGGCTGCAGTCAATCATAGAGAAATGTTCAAGAAAGGACCTCACCATTCTGATGGGAGATCTAAATGCCAAGGTCGGAATAGAAAACACTGGATATGAAGATATTATGGGACGACATGGACTGGGAGAGAGGAACGAAAATGGAGAAAGATTTGCAAATTTGTGTGCATTCAACAAATTAGTCATAGGAGGCACAATATTTCCACACAAACGTATACACAAGGCTACATGGATCTCACCGGACCACACTACAGAGAACCAGATAGACCATATTTGCATCAACAAAAAATTCCGAAGGACAATGGAAGATGTGAGAACCAGGAGAGGAGCTGACGTAGCTTCAGATCACCACCTAGTTGTAGCCAATTTAAAACTGAAGCTAAAAATGAACTGGAAAACTGGACAAACAGCACTACAAAGGTTCAATACAGCCTTCCTTCGAGATACTGACAAACTCAATGAATTCAAGATAGCTCTCAACAACAGGTTCCAAGCCTTTCAAGATCTGAAGGAAGAAGAAACTACCATGGAGGACAACTGGAAAGGCATCAAAGAAACATTGACTTCAACGTGTCAAGAGGTTCTGGGCCTAAAGAAACATCATCATAAGGAATGGATCTCTATAGAAACACTGGACAAGATCAAAGAAAGGAAGAACAAGAAGACAGCAATTAACAACAGCCGAACACGAGCAGAGAAAGTCCAAGCACAAGCTGAATACATAGAAGCAAACAAGCAAGTGAAGAGGAGCATTAGAGCCGACAGGAAGAAATACGTGGAAGAATTAGCAACGACAGCAGAAAAAGCTGCTAGAGAAGGAAATATGAAACAGCTCTACGATACAACGAAGAAACTATCAGGGAAATACAGTAAACCAGAGAGGCCGGTCAAAGACAAAGAAGGCAAGCCAATCACTGAAATTCAACAACAGCGAAACAGATGAGCAGAATACTTCGAGGAACTCCTGAATAGGCCGGCTCCAATGAATCCACCGAACATCGAAGCAGCACACACAGATCTTCCTATAGATGTCAACCCACCAACGACGGAAGAAAGTAGAATGGCCGTCAGACAAATCAAGAACGGGAAAGCAGCAGGACCCGACAACATACCAGCTGAAGCACTGAAATCAGACGTCGAAGTAACCACAAGCATGCTTTACCCTCTATTCAAAAAGATTTGGGAGGAGGAACAAGTGCCAATAGACTGAAAAGAAGGACACCTCATCAAGATTCCAAAGAAAGGAGATCTGAGCAAATGTGAAAACTACAGAGGCATTACACTACTGTCAATACCAGGGAAAGTCTTCAACAGAGTGTTGCTGAACCGGATGAAGGATGCAGTAGATGCCCAACTTCGAGATCAACAAGCTGGATTCCGAAAGGATCGGTCGTGCACAGACCAAATTGCAACACTACGGATCATCGTCGAACAATCAGTTGAGTGGAACTCGTCACTATACATCAACTTCATTGATTATGAAAAGGCATTCGACAGTGTAGATAGGAGGACATTATGGAAACTTCTTCGACACTACGGAGTTCCTGAGAAGATTGTCAATATTATCCGGAACTCATACGACGGACTACAGTGCAAAGTAGTGCATGGAGGACAGCTGACGGATGCATTCCAAGTAAGGACCGGAGTCAGACAAGGCTGTTTACTCTCTCCCTTCCTCTTTCTTCTGGTGGTCGACTGGATTATGAAGACCTCGACATCTGAAGGAAAACACGGAATACAATGGACAGCTCAGAACCAATTAGACGATCTGGACTTCGCAGATGACCTAGCCCTCCTATCACGTACACACGAACAGATGCAGATGAAAACAGCCAGTGTAGCAGCAGTCTCTGCATCAGTAGGCCTCAGTATACACAAAGGGAAAACCAAGGTCCTCACATTCAAAGCGGAGAACAGCAATCCAATCACCCTTGATGGCGAAACTCTGGAAGATGTAGAATCCTTCACATACCTGGGAAGCATCATCGATGAACAAGGAGGTTCAGATGCAGACGTGAGGGTGAGGATTGGCAAATCAAGGGCCGCATTCCTACAATTGAAGAACATATGGAACTCAAAACAACTTTCAAACAATATCAAAGTGAGAATCTTCAATACGAATGTCAAGGTAGTTCTATTGTATGGAGCTGAAAATTGGAGAACTACAACCACTATCAAGAAGGTACAAGTATTTGTAAATGGTTGTCTACGCAAGATACTCGACATCCATTGGCCGGTTACCATCAGCAATAGCCTTCTGTGGGAGAGAACAAACCAACTTCCAGCTGAAGAAGGAATTACAAAAAGACGATGGAAATGGATAGGACATACATTACGCAAATCGTCAAACTGCATCACGAGGCAAGCCCTAACTTGGAATCCTGAAGGGAAGCGGAAAAGAGGAAGGCCAAAGAACACATTACGTCGGATAATAGAAGCAGATATGAAAAGGATGAATTACAACTGGAAGGAGCTGGAAAGGATTGCCCAGGACAGGGTTGGATGGAGAATGCTGGTGAGCGACCTATGCTCCTTCACGAGGAGTAACAGGTGTAAGTAAGTAAAGTATCAGGATTTAGAGCATGGGAATACTTACCGACACCCAACTATAGCTGTATTTCTCAACCTCAGGGCTCCATTTGACTCTGCTGACTGGTAGGTTCCGTAATAATGTCTGTCATTGAAAGGCGTACGAAAGATGTACACAAACTTGCGGAGTTTCTCTATCCAGATATTATTGGTCAAATCGGATCTTATTAGCGAACTATCATCAAAATTCTCAATGTTTAATTGTGTTCATCATGGTTACTTACTGTCCCTCTTTCTATCTAACTTCATCCTAGATGTACTGGTAGGATTAATACTTCCTTCATCTGACTTTTCAACGATTAGTCTACCAGAAGGTTCACCTATTGAATTAGAATACGCAGACTACATAGTTATAAAAACGCTGACAAGGTGCAGACTTGTGATCACACTGAGCAAAAGTTCAGGCATGTTCATCTATAAATACATTCCGACTCCATTTTTTCGAACCATATTTTCAACTCTCAATCCTCATTATTATTGCTACTACATTATTTCAATCTCGTTTGATATTCACCTCGTTATATTTATTTCGTCATCCTAATGTGGTTCGCTAACCCACATGTGCGTCAGACTCGGTGTATTGTTTGTCTCTTTTTTGGAAAATGTGTATTTCTGAGTGAACACTAGTTTTACTGCAGAGTTTACATTCGTTGTTATGACTGCATCGAACTTTATGTATTACACTGATCAATACTTACTGTCCGAAGGTAGACACGATTACCAGACCACTGAAATGGCTATTACATTTTAATTGAGATCAGGTTGGCTTACTAGAAATAAAAAATCTTGTTCCTTAAGCGGTTAGACGATTTAGTTCTGATAACCCTGTAGATAGTGGTGAACGAATCTAATTTGCCGAATATGGTCAGATATAATTCTTGATTATATGTATCTGGTCAATTATGTTGATGCTGACGTTAACCGGCAATTTATTTGCTTTAATTTACTAAAACATACACTTTGTTTACAAATTCTCCTCAATGTAATATATCTGTAATTCGCATTTAAAACATGTAATTCACCGAAGGGATCTCTATTCGACAAATGTATTATCAGGCTGTATATATCTAACGTTTTAGGGACTGATTTCGTGTGGAAATATGAATACTGAGTGAGCATGTTAATGTCATAAGAAGATTTTAATATTAGGTTATTTAGTGCAAATAATAACAATAAAGGGTTGTATAAATTCTGTTAACAACATGATTAGACTGAAATTTGTGATTACGACCAACTGTCAGTTTTGTACACAGTTCAAAACAAAGTGATATAAATCTGCATAAAAGTAACCAAACCAAAGTAAGAACTAGATAAGTCTAGTACAATCAGATTGCGAAGCGGTATGGACAGTTTTTGTTCAAAGAAAGTTCCATTAAAAGTAGGAGGATAATGAGTGCTAGTATTTCAGAACACTGATGATTGATTCGCTTTTATAATTTGGAACCAGATGATCCAGTTACATTATGGTCTAATGTAGGTTCATGTACTTGACTCTAAGCAACCCAATCCGTTTCTACTGATTACTCTATCTGTTATCTCTTGAAGACTCACTAATCAATAACATGTGCCAAGTCACTAATCGGAGGCATAATTCTAATTTGATCCGTTACTTACTCTACAGGATAGTATCTCTGACTTCGCCAATTACACGCCCGACCAGTACTATTATCTTTGATTCGGTAGCTACGTTCCTATTGGCCCATTATTTGTTAGCCCGTCTCTATGCCCAGCCGAGTCCAGAAGTAGCAACCAGCCCCTACTGTATTTATATTCAAGACCTAAGTGGTTTATATACAGAAATCCCAGACCGCATTACATAATATGGGAAATAACAATTATACATAAACAGGTCAAAAGTGACTGTGAATAGGGGAGACAATAATAGATAGGCAATAAAATAAGAATATTAAGTCGTATGTTAGTAGTTTACAGGCTAGTTGGAAGCTTATAGTAAAAGAAATACATATACATAACAATCTAGTTACTCGGTAATTACACAACAAAATTATCATTAATAATAATCCGGAAATCCAGTTCCAACTACTATAATATTCTTTCAGTTATGACACTATCCATTTGTCCAAAACCCAAGTAATAGTGAACTTGAGACCCATTAGGTAGGAGTCAAGTGCTTTAACCACTAAGCTACTGTTCTACGAATATAATTCAAGGATACAAAATTACGATAAACAAGGTTTTGCGTTTAGTCTTCCTTCATTTTTGAATATCTCAACTGCCTATTAGAATATGAAGTGATAATAAACGTCATGCACTTGATCACAGTTAATTTTAGCTGTTGACAAAAAGTTAATAATGGAAAGGTATATAATATAAATTACTTATTTCAACATAAAAACGTGTCTTTACTATTTACATGGTTCGTTTAATGTCACATAAAAAATTGTTATTTGATGCTAATAACATTTTAGCATCTTGCTCCCTAAAATGAACACTGTCTCGATTGTTTAAAAATGCTTCCTGCATTTCGCGTAGATTCATTTCCAGTTGTTGGCGTAATTTCCGTTTATTTTCTCTGAGAACCTAAAAAATCAGTAAATAAATAAAATATTTATTTAAGTTGATATAAAACAAACTATCATCATCAAAATATAACAAATGTTTGAGCTACTACTATTGAAAATGTCGAATCGGTTTGTAAACAGCGATCGATTATAATCAGTTTTTCATTCTTAATTACAAGAAACTGAATAGAACGATAGTAGTGTGAAAGATTTTGCATTCTGTAGACTTGATGGTTTAATCATGAAGAAATTTGACTGTTGTACTGTCAATTCAATTCGGTTGTTTGTTTACTTTGAAAAAGTGGCTTACATTAGGTCACGAAACGTCAGAAATACAATATTTCTACTCATTGGGATATAACAAAAAATATATTTATTATTAATTATATACCCAATGCTCAATTTATTAGAAACCATCATGTCCGACCCTAGCATTGATACCTATAATGGCTGAAGCGACTGAAATACTTTTCTTAATAAGAGCTCAATAAACTTAAATGATCTCGTATAGATGAAAGTGTTCCATCACCTGATATATAGAGAAATAAAACCAACCTGTCATCAATACAGTCTAACGAATATTTCAATCATAACAATACTGATTGTAAGCCGGATCTACGATTGATTAAAACAACACACTTGGAACACAATGAACATCGTTTCACTATAGCGTATGGAAATAAGCATAATATTATATTTTTGAAAAATAATTAAGTTTCAGTCAAAATGTTCAGAAACAATACAAAAAGCTTATAAAGTAAGAAATAGCATGAGGATAATGGATTTTTTATAAAAGCATTACCCCTCTTACAGTTGGTTATATCATACATATTAAATTATATGATACACTAAGTATACATTTGAATTCAGGCGTACTTTTTGTTCTTCACGCATACGAATCGATTGTTCTTCTCTTTCTTTATTTATCTTTTCATTCATTAATTCTAAGCGAATACGATGTCTGTGGTTTTCATAGAGACATAAAATTGTCAAAAAAAGTTAAATCAAAATAATCAAGTCTAGGATCAAAAGTGATAGTAACTTTTAAAGTAAATAAATAAATCCTCAATTATATTCATGAAAATGAATCCCCATAAAATAGCCCATCCAGTGATCTAAAAGTAAGATGCTCGTAGAAAGATCTGAAGGTCCTGAGTTAGATCTTAGGTGGCCGGGTCTTGGATATGCACTGCCAATCAGTCTCATACTAGGATGAAAAAGTTATCCAGTGTTTTTTTTTGTTTTGCAATGGTTATCTAATTAAGATCATTGTCTGACGTTACCTAGGAAATTTGTTTCATTATCGGAGTCTAACATAATCATTACCATCGGAACAACCTATCCTCTTGTTCCACAGTGTAGAAAAGTGACGATGACTACCAACAATCGTACGTGTTAATTTTTCATAAACACTTGATACTTTAGCTATTTATGTTCAATGCATTGAAAAAATATCCCTAGTTTTTCAAATATTCCTATGAACGCATTCAAAATAGAAGTTGTGTGAAGTAATTGTTGTGACCTTTGCTCTGTTAATTATTACGTGATATGATTACCAACGGAACACCAACTTATATTAGCTTGGCACTGTTCCAAACCAATAACGCACAAACCAGTACGAGTAGCCTAGATTCAACTCCGAGTTCTTATTAGTCCTCTGAAATACTAGCTTCTCACCTAACACAGATGGTTTTGTCCAGAACACCAATGTTAGCCTCTGAGATGTATATCAGACATACGCAGTTTAGATACGAGCAAATCAGACCTCATCATACCATAAAATAGATTATAACAATCATACAACATCAGGCCAAAATTGGTTGTGATTGTGAGACTGTAACTAATAAATTTGGGACTAACTTAAGAATAGTAAATCGTATAATAGAAGTCAATAGGTTAAATGCAAGCTTATAATAAAAAGAATATGAATATCAGTCAGTCAACTACAACGTAGGACCATGCACACGTGCATCAGTCCAAGTTGCCATACCTAATTTACACAATAAGATGAACACCGGATTCATAGTAGTTAATTCAGCGTTGATAATATATATGAATATACATATAATATTGTCACTTCATAGATATACAGTAAGAATATCTATATAATAACAATCCATAAATAGGTCCTAGCAATTACCATTCACTTATTCCTTGTTAGTATATAACGGTAATATTTATTTTAAATTAGTACCTTACCAACAGCTCTACACTGGCGATGTGTGGTAGTGAAAGTAAATTATAATTGGTCGTTGAGCGTAGACAAATATCCACAGCTCATAGACTACTAAATATGTGATTTTCCTTCTTATCATTGATTTCTACTGTGTGTGACTGCTATTTTGGGTAGCGAAACCTGGTTCTGGTATAATGTGATTAGTCTTATTAACGTATCATCGTAATAAGCATGTGAGAGGAAAAAAAAATTGTAAACCGCCCGTCATATCAACCGGTACGCAAGTTTGATTAAGTATAAAATATATACCTAAAAAAGTGGTATATCAATTCAGAAATATATCACTATATTTTTTCTAAAGATAGTTAGTCACAGTCACTTACTCAATGGATGTAAAATTAATGTTAAAACAAAATAACATAAATACTCAACCAATAATGCAAGTTCATTTTATCTTTATGTTTGTTCAGCACCAAACTGCTTGTTACCTTTAGAGAAAATATTAAGATAAACTTTCAAATTGATACACCATAATTTATTTGATATTGATTTATAATTCATTAAGAAATCTACATATTAGTGTACATCTAGGATGAGGAACTAATTGGAAAGAAATACTTCTTTGATAAGCTTGAGCTTTGAAATAAATGAAGATATCTTATATTTTATAATTAATAAGCATAAGTATCTCAGTAATCAACCTTGAAATATGAATAACAACTAATATCATAAACTTTAAACTGAGTTAAAAGTAAAAATATGCTAGTACTCATGTTCTAACGATTCCATGATTTTCCTTTTTTGTTTTTCTTTCTGGAGATTTTCTTCACGTTCTAGTTTTTTTACTTCAAGAAAATATTCTTTTTGCTTTTGAATCAGTTGCTGAAAAAACTGTCGGAATATCTGAAATAAAAATTGAAAATCAACATGAAAGATTTAGTGTGTTGTATGCTAATTATGTCAATAGACGTAAGCAGTACATAACAACAATTGCAAGTGGAAAACCCGGCAGGAGATCGAGTTGAAGACAACAGAAAGGAATTTTGAACTGGAAGAATCATGCATAATGTGAAGGACAAATGATGGAAGATTACTAATGAAGTATTCGGTATATGGTTCCTATACATTATCAAGAAATTCTGTAATTACGTATTTAGATGCGACTGGTTGTCCCAGCCTGTGTTCTTGTTCATTATAGGAAAATATGAAATATCGGTTCTATTACTAGGCAACAAAAAATACAGGATATTTTCTAAGCTTTTCAGTGTGAGTGAACTTTATAATTTGCAAGACTTTGATTTGTGGAAAAAGCCCAATACATATGTGGTAGGTTGATTTGACAATAATAGCCGATGTCATTTACTTGTATTTCAAAACAACTGTGTAGCATAAGTTTATTTTACTGATAATAAAATTACTGATGTAACGATTTAGTTATTTCAAGAGAAGCAGTTGACTATTTAAAGCACTTGATCGTCAACTAATTAGATGAAGACTCAAATCACATTTGAATTAATTTAATTTGAACAACTTGGTAGTATCATTACATCTAACATAACTAAATTGTCTCTCAAAGCTAGGTACATGAACTGGTACTTGGTAAATGTATTATAACATGAATTTTTTACTGGTTCAGAGTAATCGGAACCGTATAAAATTAATTTGAAACTTATAAAATGTGTTAAATTACTACTATTATTATAGTATTTATAGACTAATTAGTTCCTCGATCTCGAAATTTTATATATTTTCTTTCTTAATGCGACTAACACTGCTATTACTTCAACTACTCTGGGGTTTGGCTTGATAATTTCATATCTCTGTGTTAATATGGTATGGTAACTTAAAGAAATGCGCATATGCGCCAGAGGGTCAACGTACATATAACTAGCTGAATGAGTTGGACGGAACACAACTAATACACTTCAGCTGGAAGAATTGTAGAGATTAATATGCAGAGACAATCAAAAGTAGCTTAATGAGAAGGTTAATAGATGGCGAGCAGGCGTAACCTAAAGGACATGTGCATTTCATTGACTACGAAATAGATCAATATCCTAAGGATTAGAGTGATATATATATATATGAATGAGTATTTGTGCATTTTATTCGGTAGTCCAATACACTTTCCCGCTCACAATTATGTTTTCGCTCAAGTAGTCAGTTGGGAGGTTAGCGCGTAGCACACCATGTATCAGTGTATCAGATCTCGCACACCGCATGTCACAAAAGCATTCATCATTTTTAAAATTATCCAGCACAGCTTGTTAGGACCCTACATTTGGTGCTTTGAAGTGTTAATTTATAAACGGAAGGTGGATGAACATCAACGAAATACTTCATAGTGTTTTATTCATGTTTATTATTGCTTACGTTGATTGTCCGTTAATTTTCACTACTCTCAATACCAGTTTTGCAAATCGTCTTTCTAAAACCAACTTCTGTGATAATTTTAAATATTTGAAGCCGTTACTGTTATTCTCGTTTTCTGCCACCACTCATCTACTATCAGTCATATCCATTGTATACAGTCTTAGTCAACTGGTTTTCAATATTGCTTCAATACACGGATTTGAGTGACACAGGGATAGATAATTGAGAAAATGATAACACTTACCTGAACGGTCTGACTTGAGAATTATGAATGAATTAAGTCATCTGATAAATCCCAGAACTTGTGGAATGACTTTAAATAAATTTTAGTTGACTTAGAATTATTACTAAGATAGTGTATGAAATTAAGTTGTAAAGAAACTACGTCTTATTGACTTCTGTAACTACCTTTTCATCAGTATTAACCTTGGCAATTTTTTTCAGACGGAATTCACGGACAAATTCGTCGAAATATTTCCGAGCTCTAATTAATTGGAATTTTCTCTCTCTCGCTTCTCCCCGGATACGCCTCTCGACGGTTTCGCTTGCTCTTTGTTTTCTGAGGTTTTCAATTTGACGATCATAATGAACTAACTGTGCAAGACGACGTCTCTGTCTTTCCTCAGTATTTTGTGAATGAGATTCAGGAACATGTATGGGAGACAGACCAGAAGAGGGATTGCTTGAAAGCTGTCTCATTACGCTTACTTTGTGTTTGAAAAGGAAATAATTTAAAAAATTGTAAGTTCAAAATCACGAAAGTACTATGGCAGTAGTAATAGTATTAGTAGAAAAATAAAGATTTTTGCTGCACTTTAAAAACTTAAGATTATAGAAATCAAATAGTAGTACTGAAATAGATGCAAACTAAGCGAATGTTAAAAGGAGCTTTTACTATTTGAGGTGATGTAAACACGAGTGAAAAATTATTATCTAAATAACCTTAAACATGCAAATTATAAAACGATTTATCACAGGTATTAAAGGAATCTCAGTGACCAATTTACGAAAGAAAGTTGAAAATAAGCGTGGTTGGTATTTTTTAGAGCACGATGTCGAGTAGTAAAGGAAGGTAGTAAAATAAGTAGTAATTACGATTCTTAGAACGACATTAACACACTTGAAATATAAAATTTCCATAAGAACTAATGTATTACTAACTAGGATTCTGGAAAAAATTAAAAATGATGAACTTTCCAACTACTTACTTGCTGGAAAATTTACCAATGATACTCAACATGGATTTCTTTAAAATCGTTCTTGCATGACATGTCATTTTGACTTCTTTGATTTAGTCTATTCTCTACGTAGCCAAGGATATCTAGTCTTAGTGCTATATCTGGACATTTCTAAAGTCTTTGACATGGTTAGCCACCAACTTCTTATAGGTAAACTCGCATCTTATGGGGTTCAAAATCCTTTGTTAGTTTGGTTTGATTCCTTTATCAGCGATCGACATCAAATAGTTAAAATTAACTCTTCATTGTCAAACGCTGTCCCTGTCAGAAGTGGTGTAATACAAGGTAGTGTCTTAAGTCCTTTGATCTTTTTAGTGTTTTTCAATGATATTTGTGAAAGTTTTTGTGTCGGTAAGCCCCTTCTATATGTATTCATTTTCTCCACATGAGCTGAAAAATATGCAAAATTGCATTAGCATGGAGCTTGACAAGGTAGCACAGTGGTGCTTAAAATGGCAACTGGAGCTTAATACGGTTAAATGTGGATGGATATGCTTCGGCAATACATCACTCAACCTAGACCTTACCATAAATGGGGAAGTGTTATCTAGGTTACATACAGTAGTAGACTTAGGACTTAGATATTCCCAAGACTTGTCATTTACAGAACACATATTAAAACAGACCTGAGTCTCAACGTCTAATAGATTACATAACTCGAAATCTTTACAACAATGAGTCACGTATTCTAATGTACAAAGTTTGTGCTCGACCTCTTCTAGAATATTGCACGTTTATTATTAGCAGTACGCACATAAAGGATAAATTAAGGCTGGAATCGGTACATGGACGATTTACACTTCGTATTCTTGGAGCTGATTGTACCTTAACTTATAATTCTAGATGTAATAAACTTGGGCTAGACCCTTTATGGAAGACGAGACCCAAACTAAATCTTATCCTTTTCTTCAAACTACTTAATAAACTATCCTTTACATCCAATCACGTGATTCAATATGCAGAAACTTCTCATTATGACATCCGTAATTCCGTGGCACTAGTGAAACAAACTCATTCTAAATCATCTCTTTATATGAATTACTTCACCTGCAAATTTTCTAGACTCTGGAATAACCTACCACAATCTATCCATACGATAAAATCACTCCCATTATTTTTTCGCTGTATCGATCCATTGAATGTTCTAGCACCTGTAAGTGTATCTCATTCCACAAGTGATATTATAGGAACTTTAAATGTTTAGTCATTTTTATTAGTGCACTTACTTGCCGTCACTTTACGTTAACACCGCCCCTAGAAACTTTAACTAATTTGAATAACATAAATAGTATATCACTGTGTCACATGACACACGCATTTAGGTAGACCTGATTCATATATTTTGGTAATTACTGCTTTGTTGTTCCGTGCTCTTTGTTTTCGTTTTAATTTCTCTAGTTGTAGATAATTATCATTAATTCGATCTGTTACACGAAATGATCTTAATTACTCCGGTCATAAATCAACAGGCTGTCCATTTAAGAAATAATAAAAACTCCCGGCTGATGCATTGGATCGCTGTAATGCATGTACTATCTAAACAATTACTGAACTAGTATACTTAAAACTTTCTATCACATGTTTGTTATGTACATCTAATGTTACTATTTATATCAAATTGATCATGCCTCTAAACTGGCGTGAATTCTGTAATTATTTTCAGAATATATAAAATTATTATTTTGAATATCGGAATTCAGATTGTATGGGTTTTGCTTCGTTAATTAATCACCTTTGTGACCGTTATTATATAAATCCCATGGTGTTTGATATCAGAAAGCAATAAGAAGCGGTAACTGCAGATTATTAGCGGATAGCACAGATCACAAAGCTATAAGCACATCAAGTGTATTTGAAGCACCGAGGTGAATATGTGGTGCGAGCAAATACAGAGGCGAATTTATAACCAAGTCGCAGAAGGGCACACCAGGACAAACAAAGGCTAATAATAGGATTTGAGTGCATATATACATGGGGAAGAGAATGAATCATCGAGTGATATTTAAGCGATCAACATTTCGGCTAAAGTCTGTCATGTGATCAAGCGTATATGTCTATACAGATATGGTAGTGATCATAATAACACAAAGAAAGATGCGAATTGTTACTATTCGAATAGCATTGTTTGTTAAGTTAATAAAAGGGCATAATCAAAATTAACCATAACGGAATTCGATTGTAGGGAAGTTGCTATAAAATCAATCGAAAATTCACCATTCTTTCTTAGGTCAAACAAGTCATTTCTAATCTCTGTCAAAGTCTAAAGATTTTGTGATGTGAACAGGGAAACAAGAAGCCCTGACAAACTATGAAACCTATTTTTCGGGACGTTATTTCATTTTATTCAAAGCTTGTAAAACATTGACATTTATTTTTGTCCCTAATCTATTCTACAGAAGATGGGCTTTCGTTTGATGTATCATTCATTGCAATACCCTTTTTTGTTCCGAAGCCATTGTAATTTAAACATAATATTTTGCACCTTATTTTCTACTCTAATTCCCAGTTTTGTGCATACTCGTATTTTTCCAAATTATTGTACGTTGTGGTCGGGTTAATCACCTATTTATTCATGTACCTTTTTGCACTAATCTGAATTCCGAGAATTCATGGGAATGAGTTTTGTGGAGATTTTAGTAAATTTCACAGGTTGAAATCATGAGTCAGTTGAAGCTAGACCACCATTGAAAACCTGGAAGCAGTGGACGGCCGTTTCGTCCTAGTATGGGACTCCTCAGCAGTGCGCATCCACGAACCCGCTCCCTGCGGGATTCGAACCCAGGACCTACTGGCTTCGCGCGCGAGCACTTAACCATTAGACCACTGAGCCGGCATCCAACGGTGTTAATGTCTAACTTCAACCAATCCACGAAGTTGCGCCATCGAACACCGATGTCTTCAGTGAGCTGATATCTCACAACAGACCTGGTTGAACTCCACTGATGACGGCTTCTCACTAGAACTCCAGAAGGTTCTCCTGAAGTCAGTCACTAGTGAGCAGTTGATTACTATCAGAATGAGTTTTGTGGAGATTTTAGTAAATTTCACAGGTTGAAATCATGAGTCAGTTGAAGCTAGACCACCATTGAAAACCTGGAAGCAGTGGACGGCCGTTTCGTCCTAGTATGGGACTCCTCAGCAGTGCTTGTCTTGTCTTCTCTCGTTACCGTGCTTGTTAGCCAATCAGGTAACAGAATAGTTTTCTTATCTCTACCCCGCCTCGAACTCACGCGTACTGGCCTCAAGGTTAAACCGACCAGCCTATTGCGTCAAGGTCTTAGTCTAGAGTACACAGATCAAGGTCATAACATTTTGATAACCAGTATCATATATATTTGTATTTCATGAAACGCTAAACTGAAACCAGTGTTTGGTAATTCCTGACTGAGCTTACAGAAATCTTTAGAGGATTGTAAAGCCTGTTTAAATATAGACATGAGGATTCCGGCTATGAAATCAGCATCCAAAGGTATTTTTATCTATTGAACTAAGGAAAAATTAGACATGTTCACTCAACTGTTGAGTTTCCTTAGTGTTGAAGTGGTTCGAACTACAGTTCAATTTGATTGAAATAATTCAGGTCAAATTCACTGGAACTTCATAAAAAGTAGGGATTATAATCTTTTGAATGAAATCGAACCAATGACCTTTATACCTTGAAAGAATCTTTCAGGAGACCAAATCTAATTATCAAGAGGTTACTAAATTTGTGGTGAGAGCATTAATGTGACCAATTATTTTTCCACTTGTTTATATGACATAAATAAAGAGCCAAGAAATAGGAGCACGGGAAGTGAATTGATAACGCTGCGAAGGGACAGAAAGGTTACACAATCAACTAACTCATAAGGAGATTATTTATCAAAAGAAAATAACCGAGGTTAATTTCGCCCAGGTATAAGATTCATTTTACTTACACAAAGAGTTCAAGTAAATTATTAAGCCACCAAGTTCCATGACACGCACGACTCCAGCCAGAAATTCGGGATGGGCAGAAGACACTAATGCTATATATGTTTATATTTTGTGAACAGACTTATCCTCTGAGTTTCGTACCCAGTTATGTAATCACCAAATAATGAGCAGTTTAAAACCCACTAGAATGACGTACAGGATGTTTAAACAGTAGAAGCTTTTATATCCTAGTGGATATTAAATTATAGGTGACTTATGAGGACTATTAATGGACTAATATTCTTATTGTGTAATTATTCAATAGTTAGATTATGTATATTTATATCCCTCTTATTATAAGCTTCATTTCGACCTATAATCTATTATTATGCGATTTACTGTCCCTAAATTATGCTCGGTTTGTTAACTACTGCCTCCCACGTTCACAGCTACTTTTTGGCTTTATTGTGTACAAATGTTATTTCCTATTTCATGGTGCGTTGCGGTTTATTTGTTTGATATATAAATACAGTATGTTTGAAATATGTGATTCGCATATTGGAAGCCGGTATTGTTGTTCTGGACTCAAATGGACGGGCTAGGCTGACATAGGACCAATAAGGACGCTAGGCTGCTCATACCGGTCGGACGTCATTGGTTTTGGCACAGTGCTACGATTGTATAAGTCGTATTTTGATTTGGTGGATAAATCACGTGATAAAAAGCCGGACATAAAGTCATAACAGAAGCTAGTGTTTCAAGATAGTAGCATCGTGCAATTAGTTCCCTTTATTTAAATTGTAACATTCATTGAACTGCCATTACTGTACCATACCTCGAACGTGAGAAATCCCTCAGAGACTACGATGGCCAAACACAAGCACTTACCGAAAATTCCCAACTTCAAGAATCCACGGTTCAGATGTATATTTTATTTGCGTACTCTATCTCTGTGAGAGTGGTTCTAGGTAAGAGCTGCGGTGGTCATCATTAGGAGAGCATCCATGACGAAAGTAAACTAAAAGGGGAAGAATGCGCAGTCTTGACGAATACCACTTGGAGTAAACGATTACAATGACACTACTGTAAATTGAACTTGAATCAACAGTGACCAAGTAAGGGCTCTCCTGTAAGTTTGTTTAGTCATTTAGTATCCCCTATAAAAATAAACTATCAAAAATCTGTAAATCAGTAAGGTCAAATGAAGGAAAATGACTATCATTGTGTCGTCAAATATGCTTAGGCTTCGAAGTCAGTCGGTCACAACGTAGGACCATGCACATTTATGCATCTGTTCAAGTTATCATACCTCATTAGCACAACAAGATGAGCACTGAAGACCACTCTTAAGCTTCAAAACCTGAGAAAAATAAGGATTCAACCCAAAAACTGCTTGATATTTTTACGTTCGCTTTTTTCCAAGCTCCACTTGCGCCTTTAATGACTACAAAAGCTAATATTTTAAGGATTATATTACTATAAAATCGATAAGTATGTCAGATAGATAGCGAGAACACTCTAATAAGCCATCGACTACGTATTAGCCAGTTTGGAGCACATAAACCTAATTATAATCAACAAGATATACAATGAATAAGATGACAAATACTTATGCATATTGTCTTATGTCATTCCGAAAATTTCATTTCCCCAAGCAAATATGAACGCCTCAGACATACGACACTTTAAAATAAATTATGGTTCAATAATACAGAAAATAAAATTGTGATACTAAGGCTAACTAGTGAAGTAATTACCAGTTATCTGGACTCATTGTTATAAAGAATTGCTTAGTGTAACACGTTCAACTCACCTCTCCCTATGACAGTGATTAGTAAGTTTCATTCGAACGGTTATTCATTAAAAAATTCATATGGAATCCTGATACTTACTACAAAAACTATTTCATTGAACAGTTAACAAGACGCTGTTTTATCATGACTAAGTGAGAATTTACTATTATCAATAGATATAAATCTCATCAGTGAAAACCTGTCTTCAAAAAATTCAACTTACATGCCTTTTTGCGCAAAATCCGCTCCTCATGTTCATCTAAATCTATTTTAGGAAATCCACTTAATAATTTATAAAACGATTGATTGGACAGGTCTTCATTTTCTTTAGTAGGACTGACAAGGTATGGTACAGTTGAATGCTTATCGGCATAAATATGCAATGTATCCACTAAAGGTTTGGCATGTAATTTAAGTACACTTTTGCAGCTGCAGTTACAATTGTCAGAAGAAGCACGTTTTAACTGAGATTACATTTTAGGAAGGAATAAAACAAACTCTGATAATGGATTTAAATAAATTAATGGTGAATAAAGCTTTAAACAAATATAAGTGCTGCATAGGTTCTCTCATACTACCAGCTAGAATGATATACTTATCTTTGCCACCCAGGTTTTAAAACAACTAGTATGAACCTCCTAACTTTAAGAGATTAGATGTGAGCAGGTATTAATTTGGATCTCATGAATACAATTATTTCGAGACTTAGAACTTATTACCATGTATTGCTTTTATTTAAATACAAGCACAAAAAGTGATAGACAACTAATCTGGTACATGTTTACTTTTTCTGTTTAGTTTGACAGAAAACTTTAGTGCCTAAACCTCAGTGTTGATTGGATTGACAAATGAGAACTCTGATCCTGAGTCAGTTTTATATTGTCAGAGAAAGCTTGTTTATCTTATTGTCATGTTTGTACTCAGTTTTTAAGTCCAGAAGTCATTGCTTATCCATATCAAAATAGAAAGCTTATTAACAATTTCGTTGTCCAGATTGTTAGACTGGTTATATTTCAAAAATCTATTTCTACTTACACTCAGTGGCAGGATGTGGAATGTATGTAGTTGCCAAAGCGCATTACATATGTCAAAGCGGAAATTTAGTATCACTTCTGTGCATTGAAAACCACTTAAGTCATTTCTCCGACAAGAAGTTAGTACATTTTAAAAGGTTTCAGGTTTAGTGATATAGTATCAATTTATGAAATCACAAACTGAAAAGGACACCAATTGGTTATCAGAAATGTATATTTTCTTAGATTACAACACTAATATTTCACCTAGTGGTTATACGGTTGAAATTATTTTAAATAGTATATGAATGGCCTGAAATTATGATTATATGAAGCGATTAATCTTCAAATAATCACTTTTAGATTGATAAAAACCTAACATAGCAAAGATTATTCTAAATTGTCTGAATGACTTGTGGAAGCTAGTCTAATTTAAGGGTATCTTTAGTCACAAACTGACGTATACCAAACGGCAGCCTGAAACTAAAGAGGACCAAATACGTTTCCCTGCTCTGTCTGGACCTTGTTAGCCGTACCTATAAACTCACCAGGGATGATACGTAGCATCCAAGCCACTGTATTAGAATCCAGTGATCCACCTTTTGGACTTCAACTAATCCATGATTTAACGTAACAGTCATTTGATGTCATTGGCAAAAAACCGCCTCACTTCAGACCTAGATGGGACCCTCCAGCCACTTCTTTCGTAACAAGTTAGCAATAAATACAATTGCTAAATAATCTGGTGGATTGCAGGTATTATTTTGATTTAAGGACGAGTCCTGTTCTTAGTGAACTTAAGGGGGCACAGTGATGATAGGCAGCAGAACAGCTTTTCAGTGTACCTTGTTTCCCAAGCTCACTTCATTTCATAACTGAAACTATTCCAAACTGTATCAGTTTTTTGATAAACTAATAGTCAGTAATCATTGGCCTGAAACAATTTTAGTGGGGCCCTTTTATTTGCGGTCATTTTGACCGGACGATGTTCGTTGAAGGGCTCATCAATTTAGTGGCCCGTGGATCTGACTCCTATTTAGATCGTACGAATGATTGTTATCGCCTATTCTCGTATATAATCGTCGACTTAAATCGCGTTAGCCAATAACGGCATTAAATAAGTCGAATGACGAGAATTGATTTGTGCATACATATATTTTTGTATATGAAGCGAATGAAACAGAGCAAAGCAAAATGACACGCAGAGAAGATGGCTGGGAAGCCAACTCCATTTTAGTCAAGCGTTACTCAATATTTATAGTCAGACAAAAATAAAGCTACAGACATATGATTAATGGGATAAGAGGGGCACAAACATATACGCTTATATAAAAACAGTCTAGATTGATAAGCGAATAAATAACAAGGTCAACGTATGGCTCAAGTAGAATGAATAAAATGGAATGTCCGAAAGCTAGAATAAGATATATGGGCTTAAAATAATGACTGACAGTACACAATAAATAAAGGCTGTATATTCAGAGAACCAAAATTTTCTATGTGGTGTTGCGTTGAGCTTTTTTAATTTTAAAACTAACATAATTTGCATGGCAGTAACTAAAATATAAAAACCTGATTGACTTAATATTACATTTTTACACAAATTTGTTGCAAAACCGTACAACACATTGACCGGAACTTAAAAACATTCAGCGAATCTACCTGTTGAGTACGAAATGTGTTTGACCGAGTTAGTACAGACACACCATCACTTTCTGAACAATTTTCGTCAAGCGGGATACTAGATAAACATGTCTTAAGTTTTTCTTGAAGATAAGCCAACCTAGCGCTACTACCTTCTGTAGTTCTATCCATATTTTGTAATTTAGACTCCATGTTATCGTGTGCTCGTGATTCAATGTTGTTTTGTGATTCCTGAAGTAGAATCGGCGAGGACTTTTGATGAGAGTATAAGTTACGAAGTTTTTCAGGTTTACATGACACGTTTCCATACAATTCATCTGGATTTCTGAATAAATCAAGACGAAAATAATAACCAGTAAATAGCCAGTTTATTATAAGTCACTAATCAACAAGCATAGGTTAATGAAAGATCATATTATTTGAAAAAAAAACTTTATACGGTGCCTGCACTATGGTAACTAGATCCCCTTTGTAGTCGCAAGCACAGACGAAAAGAGGAGAGTTAAGATTATAGTTATGATCCCAATGTCGTAAAAAAACTACGTTAAAAATCGCCAACCAGAAAAAGCAAATTAACTCCTATCCTGCGAGTTGAATAGTCTTCATATGTAAGATTTACGTCACCTAATTGGTATACCAAATAGAGATTTTCACCAACTGGTTTCTGACGATAAACTCAATACCTCTTTTTTAAAGAACATATAGATAAATCATAACTTGCTTTGTGTTATCCAGGCCGAATTTCAGTCGACTTTACTTAATATATAACACAAAATAAAGCAGTCAGACTGAAACATCTGCGGGCAGATATATCTTGGCATAACACTGTTACAACTGGGATTAAACGTGTCGAGTAATTTATGGATAATATTGGTACGAGTGATACGCGTGCGTTTATTCTTTCCAAATATTTATAATTTCACTACTCTTAGTCTTTTTTTCCTCTTTTCCGTTTATTTTGACATACTTTTTCTCATGATCCTTCCAAGTGTATTGCAACGTATAACAAATAAAACCTATAAACGTTTGTTATTATACCAATATTACTGAAAGTTTGTTTAGATAGAAGATATCTAAGTACTCATGAATTCTATTCATATGTCACCATTAGATCGTTTAAAATTAACACTGACAACCTTTTGCCTTGTAAGATGGATAAATGGGGTCGATAACCAGGAGTGGATTCAAGAATCCTGTAAACTTAAGCGACTAAAAAAGGAAAACATTTGAAACTAATCCAGACAAGTTATTGATTCCTACCGTAAAAATATCTAAAATTCGAACGTTTTGTTATTTTAAAGATACTTCATAACTATTTTTATTGTGGAGTAAAATTAAGTATTCTGCCATAGAATTTACTACTCTCAAAAGTAATGTTGAGTATATGAGATAGAACTGGACGTTTATTGGCAAGAAACACGAGTTATCTCTAAATAAACTGCACAGATACGTAGAATTAATTAAGTTTAGAAGTTGTGTATGGTAATAAGAATTGAGGGAACAATATATATCTGAAAGTTCATCAAATTATGGGCAGATCCCTTGGGTAAAGAAAGTTTCATCGCCCCAATTTTCTTTATCCTTATCTGATTTATCCAATTACAAAATGAAACATTAAGTAACATGCTGTAACATCATAAGATGTACTAATCGAAAATATAATGGAAATATGTCAGTCTCGGGTGCAGTAAACATTTTTCTACTTCGAATGAGTGTGAATCATACTTACTTTCCATTAAATTAGACGGCACATCTGCATACACTAATTTGTCTAAAGTAATGTAAATTTATTTATTTAAACACATAAACATTGGTACAGGGATGCACCAAATAAATATGCGCCACATAAATCATTCGATTTGTGAGGATACTGCCCGGGTGCCCAAACTAAAGCACGTGGTTTCCTTAGGGACCACTCTTGGAACCTTCGACTTAAAAGGTATAATCCATAAGGCAGTGGAGCAACGTCAGGAGATACAGTCACATGGTAGTCGGTGACCAACAATTGGTTTGCACGCCATTTGTTCCTTCAGGATCCTGAAGCTCATGTGCACCATTAGTTTAGAATCAGGGTTATCTGACTCCATTAGGTGAACCCTACGTGTCCACCAACCCGGTTAAAGCGCTGGACATCCGCTTATCATCCTCTCAATTCCGTAAACACCGCCGCGAGAAGACAGTGAGTAGTACTTCCCTGGCAGTGGTTGTATGCACACAGCCATATGAGCGTTTTGAGAGAGCTGACTATCTTCACTCTCGGCCGTACCAGGGAATTTGAGAGCCATGGTATATATATATATATATATATATATATATATATATATATATATATATATATATATATATATATATATATAAGTCCAAGTTACCACACCAGAACCTTACAGGTAATGTTTTACGGGGAGAGAAAGACGTAGATGACTGTACATGATCGCTTTAAAAAAGCAACATACCACTACAAAGCTGAGTTAAAACGTTTATTATCACGATCTCCTGACACACCATACATAAAATTCGATTGAAACAATTTCGAGATTAGAATGAATTATTTCCAGATTTTATGTACTGATTGAGTCGTCCGAACCCGTCACTTAAAGAGATATTAAAGTATGTAAACTTCCACGTCGTGTAATGAAACATACTATCTCAAATAAGGAAGTGTGTTAGCATGTTCTCTCTGAATTTTCTACCGAGTGAGTAGCAGACAGAACTTCTTTTGATGATATCTAGTCTTAAATACCAGTAAAACGTTTTTGAGGACAGACCAGACTTGGACGTTTGGTTGTTACATCTGATAACTTCCCAATCTCCAAATTTTTGGGAAACTTTGGGTAAATGTTGAAGTATCCCCCAAGTTTGATGGGGAAAAACTCCAAAGTGTTATAATATTCTGGGGGAATATTGGGCTTTCCCCAATATTTCTATTGCGGTTTCACCGAATTTTACCCGGAACGGACAAACTTTCCCCCAAAACAAGAAGATCAGGCTTTGCATCTTCACAACACGATAATGACCTTAAATTTGGATATGTGAGTCTTTATGATGAACTAGACTTACAGCTTTTTGTTATGGATTTCTTCTGCCATTCTAAAGTCTTTCTGAACAACAGTATTTTGTGCCAATAGATCAATTAGTTCAAGAAGATTATATAAAACATTGGGATCGAATATGCGTAAATGTCTTATGGATATATAACCAAGCGAACTGCCTATCAATCTAGATAATGATTGTAGCAGGAAATCCCATCGAGGTTTATGATCTAAAGTAGCTACAATTCATTAAAAACAGTGAAACACCCTTGCCATCGTTTTTGAAGTCACTAATCTTCTCTAGTATCGATTCGAAAAACTCTATGTTGACGTCAGATATATTGTTCGGTGCACTCAGTCCAACAGTTGAAGCCAGTTGGGAAGCAAAAGATATTACACCAGCGATCCGCTCCTGCCTAGGCGACATGCAAAAACAAACTTGAAATGCCTCAGTATGAGATTGATATGTACTAATTGATCCAAACAAATAAACAATGAATACATGATAAAGGTGTCTGATATTGAGTCGGAGACAACATTTCAGTTAATAGTTCTGTCGCTTTCTTTCTTGGGAGATATCACCAGATTCAGGCAGCGACTACTACTACAGCTGGTGTGTTGTTTCAAACGCATACGATTCATTTTTGGGCTTTGAGGACAGAAGGCCTACAACCTGTGTCCATCTGTTTTTATTAGGCCCCTAAAAGTATCTGTTATTCTCTTAGGTGAATCAATCGGTGATGCGAACACAACTTTCTCGAAGTTATATTTGAATGTCTATCGATAGCATGAGAAGTGTTTGATCTGAGTTGGCGAACGGTTGTAGAATATTCTTAGCACGGAGTACCCACTTGTGGTCTGGTGCGCATCGGGTCCTTACCATCACCCTTAAATCCGAACATGGGAAAACTTGGAAAATAGGTATTCAACATTTAGCACTAAGAGAAATTCAGTAATGGTGGTCGCAGTAAAATTCATTAGAAAATAAGTTAATTGAATGTCATGGCTCAACCTTGTAGATGTGGTCATTCCTGTTTATTTTTTATCCGTATTAAATACATTGTTATACCTCCAATCTAAATCTGTTCTTCATTATACATTGGTGATTGTTAAATTACGTTTAGACAATGATGTGACTTCCACGTAAGATATTATAGATTAGGTAGTTACATCACGAAAAATCCACAGTTTCAGGGCTACGTCTACTATTAGAACTGTACTAATGACGAAGTAGACCATAGTTCAACAAGCCTGCTTGTGTAATAGTTTAGATCCATATTCATCGAGGATGATGGATCCATGAATTCTCTTGGAGGTCGGAATGTCGTCCCGTAAAGCATTTGAGCTGTAGTGCATCCAATGTCAGCTTTCAGTGTAAATACCGAGTATAACTAGTGGAAGAGAGTCTATCCACTGTGTAACATTTGTGGCCGAGGGTGGATCTTTAGTCTGTCAGTCAAAGCGCCCTATCAACCCGTTTGCTTGTGGGTGGTAGGCAGTCGTTAAGTAGATCATGTGATTATCAATAGTATAGTCAGATAACGGAAACGTCTAGATGCGAACTGACGTTCACTGTCTGTAGTGGTAGTTAAAGGGCAGCCAAATTTTGCTACCCACAACTTGACGAAGGCTTTGGCCACTGTAATGTCCTTGATGGGTACTGCTTCTGGCAATCAAGTGAAACTGTCTATCCAATTTGAGGTATAAGGGTATCCATTTGAATATGCATAGGGTCCCACCAAATCATGATACCGTATAGAACAATACATGACTAGGAGTTCCTCACCAAAGGCACTATACTTCGATTCAGTGTCTAGAAACCGTCTTTAATATAATGCCAAGGGTTGCCAGAGGTGGTTAACACAGTTTTTCCATCATTATTTTCCATTTCATTTTCGCTTCTATTTGACGATAAATACATAGTCGTTTATCCATATTCTGTGTTCATAAACACGCCTACTAAACTATTTGCACATTCCACGTCTCCTTTATTTCTATTCTCTTATTTTTCCCTTTCCTTCTTTAAACTCAGTTCAATATTCTTCTCAATTACACAAAACCTGATTTATTATTATTATTCTATTATTATTACTCTCTTTTTCAAATATGGCAAATATAGTGCTAACATCATGGAAACTTGTGTATTATTGCATTTTTGAAGAAACACGAAATGGTGTCTTCACAACACTTATGTACCAATAAGGTTTTTGTGAATAACAATAATAATAGTTTTAATACTCCTTCTATTGCTGATTCAGATGCGTCTACTGCGTTAATAATGGGTACCTGAGTGTTCTGATGTGCAAGCATTGTTGTTTTTGCGATAAATTCTTGAAATTCTAGAGGATGCTTTTCTCGCAGTATCGTCCGAATTGGTGGGTTTCGCAATTCCGCAAAGTTTGGACGCGCAGTTTTTCATAAACCGTGTATAGAAACTTGTAAGACCGTTTAACACGCATGATTGCATAATTGTCGTCGGTTCTGGGTAATCCAGAATGGCAGTCTTTTTGTTTCTCAGAGATTGAATGCCTTCAGAATCAATAGTGTCCGGGGAAATCTAGGGAATCGATTCCGATTTCGCATTTCTGAATGTTCACAGTAATGCAATGCTTTCGTCGTCGTTCGTAAACAAGATCCAGGTGCTGGAGGTGAGATTCATTGTCCGGACGTGCAATCAAGCAGTCATCAGCATATGCATGTTCGAAGTTGAAACCTCGAAAAACGTAATCTACGAACACTTAGAAGTTTTGAGAACCTTTTTTTAGGCATGCACAAAACTCATATAGGCGGAGATGTGTGATGATAAGAGTGATACAAATGTCGTCAGCAACCATGTGGAATTGGTTTTTATGCTTTAGCCAAGTCGATTTTCGAAAAAAGCAGCTATACTTTTCAAGGTTACTGTCAAATCGCGAACGTCGAGCAACAGGTAACGATCGGGAATGGTTTTCGCATCCAGTCGCCGATAGTCACCAGCTCGACGCCAGTAGCCGTCGCCCATGCGCAAGGGAGATGACGATGGGCTGTTTGGTGGCCGAACGACTTCTAGGTCCATCATGTTATCGAATTCGTTTTTAGCCAACCTCAGCTTTTCGGGAGCCAGTAGGCGCGCTTTTGATAATACAGATGGTTCTGTAGTGTAACAGCGCTGGGTACGCACGGCAATTTCTGTTGCGTTTGATATATTTCAGAGCACTTATCGAGTAATTGTTGGTAGAATGGATCTGTCGTGCGCCTAACTGTGACAGGAGATAATCTAAAACCGGAAAAAGAAGTTACTCGAACAGATAAATTAGTGTTTCCGTCTAGTAACTTCTGTTTGCGCATGCCGATGAGTAAACTATTGTGTTGTAGCAGGTCTATGCCGATGATTGACATAGAATCATCTGCAACAACGAAAACCCAGTGAAGTTGTTTGCATAAACTCACTTTAAGATAGATGTACCGTTTACCATATATGGCGATAGGTTTTCCGTTTGCTGCTTATAATCGGTTCGTGCAGTCCGGCGTTAGGATTTTCTGAGAAAACGCTAACGTCTAAGCCAGCGTTGATGAGGTAGCGAACTTTCGTTATCACATCATTGACACATAACAAATGACTGTGTTCGCTGGCTGCGGTTGCCATTAACGCGTGCCGTCTGGGAATTTTTCCGAAACGTTTTCCGTGTCGGTCGGCTTGGGGTTAGAAAAATTGCATGGTTTTCTGTAATTTCGAGAAGATTTTCCGAACTACATAGGATATCAGCACCAATCAGGGTTATATGTCGCTCATGATCTAGATGCACATCGTTTTCTGAAGTACTCCTTTGATAAGTTTATGATCCTCTACGGTCCTGACGAATACGAATGTAACGTGCCGGACTATGACATTGTCACGAATATCATTCTGTGTCGCTTGAGATTTTACTTCAGTGAAAAACCTCGGCATTAGAAGAGTCGGTGATCTTCAAAATGAGATCGACAGATGCAGCCAGCTCGTCTACAGCGTTGTTTTGGAACGAAACAAATACTGCCTCAACCTGTTGAGAAAGCTTAGACATGAAAATGTGTCTAAATATGCCATCATCGCAAGTTCTTTGTCCGATAACCTCAATCATTCTTAGCAACATGTCTGTCCCAGAATCATGTTTCAGGAAGATACTATTAAGAAGTTGATCTAACCTTTGTCGGTCGGTTCCGTCTCTGCGCTTAAGAGATTTGTAAGGTCCCAAATCTTCACTAGGAAACATACTAGGTGGGACGTATCTGTTAAATACGTGCCGTAGTGCCTTGACTACTGAGAGGAATTGTGCACGGGTGTCGTTCACGCTGTGCTTATAGAAGTCAGCCTCTGAGTAGCAGAACCAGGCTTTGATATTGTCTGGCTAAAACGGCATTAATTGAAATGAAGGTGGAGTTATGTCTTTAAATTAAGTACATTAGGTGTCCGTTCCGTCATAGTGAATATGAAGTACAGGAATGAACTAGGAGAAGAAAAACACCTAAAATATGAAAAAATCACAATATATAAAAATCAAATTAAAGAAACGATATATAAAGTTCCAAATACAAACAGGTTCACAGTTCATAAATGGATGTGGTAAATCATACCGGGTTAACCACTGAAGATGCTACAGGTATTTGGAGCTCGACAACACCTTAACCAGTAACATCTGCAGGAATCGAAAATTGTCAAAAGTGAAATCAAAAGTCAGAGCCAAAGAGGTTTGAAGATGTATTTTATAAGCCAACGATCTATCGAGCAGTGACGGGTCTAATCCGGCTAGCGGTTGTACGAGGAGTTGAGCATGGCGTACCCAATTGTGATTTGGTGCAGATGCGTGATCGAGCGCTTTCAGTGAGGTGAGTCGATTAAAACTATTATGGTCAGCATCAAATGTCGAAAACTTACAGAACTATTAAGTTTCGGGATTTATTATCGCATACACATGAACAAATGCAGATAAAGACAGCCAGTGTAGCAGCAGTCTCTGCATCAGTAGGCCTCAACATACACAAGGAGAAAACCAAGGACGTTTCCTGATTTTTATAGATTGTACAACCAGAATCGAGGACAACTGACAGACACATTCCAAGTAAGGACCGGAGTCAGAAAAGGCTTTCTACTCTCTCCCTTCCTCTTTCTTCTGGTGGTCGACTGGATTATGAAGACCTCGACATCTGAGGAAAAACACGGAGTACAATGGACAGCTCAGAATCAATTACACGATTCGGACTTCGCAGATGACCTAATGACAGCCAGTGTAGCAGCAGTCTCTGCATCAGTAGGCCTCAAAATACACAAAAGGAAAACCAAGGTCCTCAAATTCAAAGCGGAGAACAGCAATCCAATCACTATTGATGGCGAAACTCTGGAAGATGTAGAGTCCTTCACATACCTGAGAAGCATCATCGATGAACAAGGAGGTTCAGATGCAGATGTGAGGGTGAGGACTGGCAAAGCAACGGCCTCATTCTTACAATTGAAGAACATATGAAACTCAAAACAACTTTCAAACAATATCAAAGTGAGAATCTTCAATACGAACACCAAGGCAGTTCTACTGTATGGAGCTGAAATTTGGAGAACTACAACAACCACAATCAAGAAAGTACAAGTATTTATAAATGGTTGTCTACGCAAGATACTCAATGTCAATTGGTCGGATATCGTCAGCAACAGCCTTTTATGGGAGAGAACAAACCAGCTTCCAGCTGAAGAGGAAATTAGGGAAAGACGATGGATAGGACATACATTACGCAAATCGTCAAACTGCATCACGAGGCGAGCCCTAACTTGGAATCCTGAAATGAAACGTAAAAGTGGAAGGTCAAAGAACACATTACGTCGGGAAATAGAAGCAGACATTGATAAGATGAATAACAGATGGAAAAAACTGGGAAATATTGAGGCCCATGCCCCTTCATGAGAACTACGAGGCGTAAGCAAGCAAGTATGTGACTATTTGTAAATCACCGAAGGTTCTGATATCTACTTCTAATTTTCTCCAACTTACAGAAGGTGCATTAAAGTCACATTCTGTAAGGCTTTCACACGTGATCTATCACAGTTCTGACGCTAACCAAATGGCACTGGATTTAGGATTACTTGAGTTCACCACGCACTGAAGCTCCCATATTTTATATAGTAGGCTACGAAAATTTGTATAGCACGCGTCCAATTCTGTGAAGAACTTCGTCGCACCACTCGGAATAGTTTAAGTATCGTTCTGCTCCAAAGCTTCCAGCGTGTAAACCTTAGAATGAAGCGATTCTTCCGATTTCGACGGTGCTCATTAATTTCTGCTTCTGCTGAGTGTCCCTTCATAAGATCAAACAGGTCGAAATACACACGGACACATAGCCAGGATTTGGTGAATCTCCTGGTATCAGGTCTCTTTCCTCAGCGGAAGCATAAGTAACCATTAAGAGGCGGCTTGTCTACACACTTCCGAAATCCTGTCTCTATCCTATTACGTTAAGCTCAAAATGCTAAGTCATGATCCTATTTTAAAAACATCTTAATGGATTTGTTCGCATTTAAAGTTGAAATCCTGATGCCGCTTATTGCTTTAGAAAGACTTGAAAGCTAATGTGCTTATATGGAAGCATCTTCCTAGTCATTCTCAATCAGTAAAAATACAAAACAACCAACAGAACCTCTGTTGAACATCAAATTTTCCACATACAAAATGACAGTAGATTGCGTTTCCAATTATAAGCACGTCGTGCAAGTTTGGTACATGCATTATCATAGCGAAAAATACGCAAGAGTGGAACAATCGGATTACACAAATCATTACTGATATCCTCAAAAACATGGATAGATAGGTTATCGACTACATTCAGAAAATCGTACATAACATATAACTCATACAAGAAAAGACGCGAAGGAGTATTGGAACTTTAAAATGTTATGCTTAACAATTGTCGGTTGGATTGGAATACCGACAGTCGGGTTTCTCGAACTCAATAAACGAGGGAGCTAAATTACGTCTTTAAATCACATCAACTGTGAACTCAGTGACCAGTGCTAACAAGATAAAATCTTAACAGTTGCATACAAACTTCAAGTTCACATCGAAAAATTCTAACAGAGCCGCTTTTAATCAATGCTGATAAATGAGTCGGAAGTAAACTATAGGCCTTTTCTGGAAGTTCTAGATAAACTACTAAACTAATGATGTATTTTTTGAAGTTCCGGTTATTCGGAAAATTTTGCTCTAATTTCATCCTTTTTTATTTTGGAACAAGTCGAGTAAAATAAGCAAATTAGGAGTATCAGACAGTGGGGGACGTAACACGTAGTTAAATCCAACTCATCAAGCCAAATACATTGAATCACTGCAATCATAATAAGATTAGATCGATTCAGCACCCAGCTATTTTATCTTAGATAAGTTATCGAGTGGATTAGACAACAACAACAACCTAACAAGGGCAGAGAGAGCCAAAGCACAGGTCGAACACTGAGGCAAACACAATAATGAAGAGGGCCATCACAGCTGATAAGCGAAAGACCTAGCAATGACAGCAGGAAAAGCTGGAAGAAGATATGAGACAATTATATGAAACAAGGAAGAAGCTGGAGGGGGAATATAGTAAACCAGTCAAGAACAAAGAAGGAATACCATTCACTGAGATTCAAGGACAGTGAAACAGGCGGGTGCAACACTTTGGAGAGCTCCTCAATAAACTAACCTCAGGACAGCATTCCTACAGTTGAGGAACATATGGAACTCAAAACAAATGTCAACTAACATCAAAGTCGAAATCCTCAATACAAACGTCAAGACAGTCCTATTGTACATAGCCGAAACTGGGAGAACCACCACAACCATCATCAAAAAAGTACAAGCATTTGTCCATGCGAGACACTCCAGATATGTTGGCCGGATACCATCAACAACAGATCACTGTGGGAGAGAGCAAACCAGCTTCCGGATGAAGAAACGCAAGAGGTGGGTCGGACACGAAATTACAGGAATCATCAGACCGCATAACGAGGCAAACCCTGACGTGGAATCCTGAGTGGAATGAAGAGAGGAAGACCAAGACACATTACGCTGGGAATCAGGGGTCAGCATCAAGAGAGTGGAGTGGCAGTTGGAAACAAATGGATAGGATAGCCCAGGACAGAGTTGGTTGGATAGGCATGGTCGCCTCCCATGCTGCAGGAGAGGTAAGGGTATTAGGACTAAATAGATTTGTCTACCGGACATGTTAGTAGTGACTACAGATCTTATTATAGATCCATCCCCTATATCAGCAACCTTGATTCTGTAAGAACCGATTGTTCATCGACGAAATTGAGACGTCATTTTTCAATAATTAGCTGATCGAAACCCATTACTGTATATAAGGTTTTTGTACTGTGAAAACGCATTAGATAGCGTGGAGAGAACCTTACAGAGTATACTAAAAGAACCCAACAATTTCATAATTGACAAATATCTCTACTTTTATACTTGATTCCGTATTGGTTCAACCATGCGAAACTATAGCAAGTTATCTTTGAGTCTTAATCAAGGATCTATTTTTATTTCTTAACGATTCTTACAAAAAACTCTGGATTTATTAGTTTTGAAATAGCATACGTAAATTTCTCAGCCTGTATGAAGCGTTTATAAAAACCCCAGATAGTAACATGAATAGATAAAAAATAACTACTAAAAAAATTCATCTGTTTATTTCATCCCTATCTAGATTGAATAACCACTTTACCATATAAACAACACAAGATTTAAAACCGTTTGAAAAATTAAAAGATACGTGACTCACGATATTTGATTGATGAAACACTTAGTTTTTGACACAATCTTAGATGAACCGATATCATAAAAACGTGGAAAAATTTAAAATGTACAATACTGTTATTATAAGCGGTATACGACAATGAAGATCACAAAGTAAATGGTATCGACATGTACAAAAGAATAAAGTACAACACAACACTAAGTTGAATACAAAATTGAAAGAAATACAACAGTATAAGATGTGTAAATGTTTTTTCCTTAATTCTACTATTTATATTTAGTAGAGATGATAACTCCGAACCAGATGCCGGTTGGGAGAATGAATGTGCCCTAATCCCTGATTCCCTTAATTTTTTTATTAATACCCAAAGGAAAGTCTTAATTGTTAATCTACTTGACTAATATAACCCTTAATCCCCTATCCCAACTAAACCTAATTATCCCCGAGTCTTAGCCCTATATGAACACCCAAACTAGTACTCTCAGAAGTAAAAAAAAGAATCATAAGACAAAAAAAATAGAAGATAAGTAGACATGGAACTATTTGAAATTAAAAGGCTAGTTCAGTAGAGAAAACTATAGAAATACCTTAAAATAAAAGATAAAAAATGTTGTGTTCAAACACTCTTTGACATACCAAAAAAACATGTCAAATATCTAAAAAAAAACTCAGAAAAACATGTGCAAGTGAAAAATAAGGAAAACGGAGAACTGACAGCGATATTTCCAACGGATGGCGTTATATACGGCAGTGATTGAACCAACGGTGAAACATACAGACTGGAGAATTATTAAAGCGATATTCGTTCTTTTAATTTCATCTAAAAATAAGTGGATATTACGACAATGAAATGGAGAATCATAACTAAAAAATCGAGAAACAATAAACATACTGAAAGATGAGATAGTAAATAACATGTGATGATTAATTTATTTGCACTGGTTCGTACCACTAGAAGGGCAATATACTTCTCCAGTACTTTGAATCATGTTGGGAAATTGCTTAGAACTTCTAGTTTAGTTACACATCTATAAAATGGTGATGGATATTTTACAATGTCAGTGACAGACAAATAATTCAAAGACCAAACTGGCAGAAGCTAACAAATGAACTGGTTGAAAAATGAGGTTTGCCTTTTAGTAAAATACACATCTGTAATAAACATAATTACATGTCATGGGACATATAAGTGGTTTTAGGAGATAAATTTTATGTCACTTACGTCTAAACGGATGAGAGCGGAATACTAAGGTTAATTATTACACGTTGTATCAATAATTGTATGAAATGTAACACATGTTTACCAAGTTACGCTAAAAATGTCTGAAACCAACGATCGTCAATCAATCATCTGTAATTGATCGGATGAAAGTAACACGTTACTTCTGCAAACATATCGTTTTCCCTTTAGTTACAGAGTTCCTATACTTATTTTATCAAGTATTATGTGATCATGTTGCATTGTCGATCGCATATTTTCTAAACATTAAAATTGCAAACTTAGCAGCATAGAACTTATGGATAAGACAATAGTTGTATTACGAAAACACTGTCATTCGTACGGGAGCACAATGCTATCATGCATTCATGTCTTAAAACATTTCGACTAACATTCCCGGCAATTTAACGGAGAAGCAGACTGACTGTAGTCATATCACTTACACATAAGTGATGCCACAGATTAACGTTCTGTAATATGAAATTCAAATAACTTATATGGATACATCGTTTACTCTTTTATCCCGAACGGATATGTAAGTTGGGTAACCCGAGCAGACACTGTTTCTCTAGTGAGGAATAAGGTACACGAGTACAATAACCAGACATTACAAGTTGGATTAAATTTTTCCGTAATATTTTAACAATTCAATGTAGTCTTTAAGATATATATATAACAGGAAGCCACCAGTACTATGAAAAAATGTGTAATATTTTTAAAAAACCTGTTTCTCAGTAACACAAGATGGTACACGTCACAACACGCTAACACTGACGAATTCAGCATCGATGAGATGGGCACTTAATATTTTCGATAAGTGACATTTCTTACCGCATTACATGAATCAGTTAACTTGGTTGATCAAAACACTGGATGCCAGATGTAAGATAGTTAACCATACTCGAGGAAAAAACGCGAAGGCCAATTGTAAAAACATTGAATCGACGTAAAAGTGGGTAGGCGCGAACAAAAATTAGGACCAAACCATGCATTACTCAAAAATTAAAAAATTTCAAAGATTGTACTGAAGAGATAACCGTTCACGAAGCATTGGAGGACACTGACTCCAGAATTTACTCCAATCATCTTCTCCAACCTGAACTTTGAATCCATGTAAAATCTGATAGTTGAATAAAGAAAACAAAACACAAGAACATTTTCCAGTCATCACACAAATGTAAGCGATTCAATGAAATTAAACGAATGTTTCCACATGATAGTGATGAAAACAACCGTGTAGGGATTAATGAAATGATCAACGTTTTTGATAATTAATTGTCCCGACTTTAGCTGCTACCTTATGGTAGCGGTCGGTCTTGTATGTCGCGATGACCCAACCGAAATATATTGACTAGGACAGTTGTTCCATCACAGGTGTCTTCGAAACATTGCTCGTATATCATGGGACCATCGAGTAAGTAACACAGTTGTTGGGAAACGGGTACTAGGTAAGGTTGGCAAATCAATTGATGAAGTAGTGAAACTTCATCAGTTCAGATGGCTGGGACACGTGTTACGTATGCCAAACCACCGACTACCTCGACGTGCTATGTTCAGTGGTATAGGAGTAGGTTGGAAGAAAGCTAGGGGCGTCCAAACCAAAACATGGCACAAGTCCATGAAGTCACTGACAAGTGGACTGAGTCATGTTGGTAGGTGTAGACTACCTGGTTGGGGACCGCGAGATGATAGCAACCGATGGTTAGAGACCCTGAATGACATGGCTCAAAATCGTTTGCAATGGCGCAGGTGCATTCACTCTTTGTGTTCTCCCAAATTCTAATCTTCTGAATTCTTCATGTCCCTTTTTTCCTCTTTCCAAATTTATTTCACTGGATTATACTCTTTAAATAACATCTCCAAACCCTAATCTTCCCGATTACTGCTTATACTCTTATTACCTCTACCACTACGGGATTTGAATCATCTCTGTGCTAATGTGGTGTGGCAACTCGAACTGATGTACGTACGTACGAAGTTCTACGTTGTTACTGACTGACTTGTTCCATAATGTCCTAACATATAAGGCAAGTTGGTTGGAGAGGGATACGAATAAAAGCAGCAACTTATAATCTAATGGCAGAGTCGTAATGTTGGTAAAACAGATGTATGAAGGAAGGTGTCTTCCACAGAAGATTAACACCTGTAGTGATGCTGTCTTCTCGAGACGAAGGAAAGCGTTTGGAGGTTGGTCCTAAAAATATACATCTCACCTTGTTCCACAGACTTCCATTGCCGTTGGTAAGACTTGGGTGTATGCTACTTACGTCTGTCGACATAATCGGAAGTGGAAAAACTGGAAGCAGAAAGCTAAGATAGAGTTGAAGAAAGCAGAAAGGGAAATAGAGAGGGATTTTGAAGTCGAAGAATCATACAGAATGTGAAGGACAATTGATGGAAGTTTTACAAATAAAGTATTTAACGTATGGTTCTCATATTTTAAGGAGGCATTCACCATCTCAGTCCTCGTTTACTACAAAACTTTCGAAGCACGGAATTAATTTCTTGTAAACTACCCACAAAAACCTCGATTTGACCAACCCCAAAACATTGACTGTTGGGCTCTGAAGCAACTCTTCCAGGTCACTAAGACTATTACGAGTAGACTAATTTTCTTCCCATGGTTTCGACCAGTTTGATCATTCAGCCCTACATTTAGCATAATGTTAAGTAAACTGGAATATGTAAAATGCTTCAAACAAACTTTATTTCGCTAGGTTTACAACTATATTGACTGAAAGTCAGTAAGTTTTTGTCAGACCACTTATTTACATATCAATTTAGAAGCAATATAAATTGTAAACATCTTTGAAGTTAATATTAGCTTTTTGATTAGTAATTCTGACCACCTCTGTGTGGTAGAATAGCAAACACACATAAGTGTAAAGCGAAAAAACCTTAAAATTAGTTTTTTTTAAAATAAACCATGTAGTAACAGATGAATTTCTTGAAGATGCGTTACATATCAAGTAGCGGAAGGATACACTTACAGCATTAAATCTCTCTTTTAAATCGTCTTTAGGATTATTCCAAGAAGCTACAGCGTCACAAAAGAAAAGGAAATCATGCAAGACACCGGCAGGATTGAGCGTAATCAAATTACAAATACCACGAAATGCACTGTCTTTTTCTTCATTGTCCCTTATATTGCGCAAAAACAGACACCTGAAGAACAAACAGAAAATCGACTGAGCATGTAACTAAAATAAGTAAGAACATTGAACATGAAATATAAACACGCACATAACAGCCAAATTATCCTGATGGCTAGTAACCGTAAAACTAAACCAAGTGCAAGCCTACACTGTTATTTTACGTGAGGGTTTTAAATAATTCAGGAAAATATTAAACACTCGAGGAACATCTGTAGTTAACCCGCCTTAATTTAAATATACAAATCTAAAAATTATCTATGGAATGAAACAACTTGGTATTATTTCAAAAATTTATAACCCGCTACAAACAGACCACAAAAAATGTATCAGGATAAGAATGCAAATAAACGCCTTGAAATCAGATGAGATGGACACTGAAGAACTGACAAATTCAGGGTTGTCTTCATGTTTAAATGAGTTATTCGAAATGCCAAGCAAAAATGAAGAGAATAAGTATGAAATCTAAGGATAAATATACGGAAGATTCCTAAGGAACTAATGTCTTCTTTACAAGGATGGAGATGACAGTATCACGCCAGCCTTAGTAAGTGGGATAAAACAATTGTAGAAAAAATTAACAAGAAGTACACAATATTTAGAGCATGAAATAAAGTCGATATATTTTTAACTCTATAGACTTCTGACATTTTCAAACATGGATCGATAGGTTATCGACTACATTCAGAAAATCGTACATACCATATAACTCATACAAGAAAAGACGCGAAGGAGTATTGGAACTTTAAAATGTTATGCTTAACAATTGTCGGTTGGATTGGAATACCGACAGTCGGGTTTCTCGAACTCAATAAACGAGGGAGCTAAATTACGTCTTTAAATCACATCAACTGTGAACTCAGTGACCAGTGCTAACAAGATAAAATCTTAACAGTTGCATACAAACTTCAAGTTCACATCGAAAATTCTAACAGAGCCGCTTTTAATCAATGCTGATAAATGAGTCGGAAGTAAACTACAGGCCTTTTCTGGAAGTTCTAGATAAACTACTAAACTAATGATGTATTTTTTGAAGTTCCGGTTATTCGGAAAATTTTGCTCTAATTTCATCCTTTTTTATTTTGGAACAAGTCGAGTAAAATAAGCAAATTAGGAGTATCAGACAGTGGGGGACGTAACACGTAGTTAAATCCAACTCATCAAGCCAAATACATTGAATCACTGCAATCATAATAAGATTAGATCGATTCAGCACCCAGCTATTTTATCTTAGATAAGTTATCGAGTGGATTAGACAACAACAACAACCTAACAAGGGCAGAGAGAGCCAAAGCACAGGTCGAACACTGAGGCAAACACAATAATGAAGAGGGCCATCACAGCTGATAAGCGAAAGACCTAGCAATGACAGCAGGAAAAGCTGGAAGAAGATATGAGACAATTATATGAAACAAGGAAGAAGCTGGAGGGGGAATATAGTAAACCAGTCAAGAACAAAGAAGGAATACCATTCACTGAGATTCAAGGACAGTGAAACAGGCGGGTGCAACACTTTGGAGAGCTCCTCAATAAACTAACCTCAGGACAGCATTCCTACAGTTGAGGAACATATGGAACTCAAAACAAATGTCAACTAACATCAAAGTCGAAATCCTCAATACAAACGTCAAGACAGTCCTATTGTACATAGCCGAAACTGGGAGAACCACCACAACCATCATCAAAAAAGTACAAGCATTTGTCCATGCGAGACACTCCAGATATGTTGGCCGGATACCATCAACAACAGATCACTGTGGGAGAGAGCAAACCAGCTTCCGGATGAAGAAACGCAAGAGGTGGGTCGGACACGAAATTACAGGAATCATCAGACCGCATAACGAGGCAAACCCTGACGTGGAATCCTGAGTGGAATGAAGAGAGGAAGACCAAGACACATTACGCTGGGAATCAGGGGTCAGCATCAAGAGAGTGGAGTGGCAGTTGGAAACAAATGGATAGGATAGCCCAGGACAGAGTTGGTTGGAGAGTTATGGTGGGCGACCTATGCTGCACGATGTAGGGGCTAACAGCCGTAAGTAAATTCATAAGTGGTAACTAAATCGGGGAATCATACATTCGTTTTACAACTTACCACTGACGAATGAAAGTGCTTAGATGAGGAGCCAATTCACCAGGACAAACAAAACCAAGACGTCCAATTGTTATCGCTGTATGTGAAGTAAATAGAACAAAGTTTATTTGCATCTATATAAAGTGTTTGTGAAATTAGCTGCATTTTGTATTTGACATTTCGGATCTATCTTATTTAGATAACTACGTAAAACCTGAAAATACTGGACAGTTTTGTTTTTGTATGGAGCTTCTCAATAGTCAGCGTACACAACCCACTCTGGATAGGACCCCAGACACTGGAGGCTTACGGCGAGCTCTTCACATTTAGATTACTAGGTTTGCATCCGATGGTTTGAACTTTTGACCTCAATTATATACCTCATAGCCACCAACCAAATCTATCAGTGGGCAAATCGCTTACTAATGACATTATTAGACTATTAGTCACGATTTCTTACTAGAGTTCTGGCAATTACCTCCCAAAAATGGGCATCCATGGGATCGAACGATGGTCGTACAACATCCTAAACTAACGGAAGCTAGAATGTTAAGGGCTAGTTGCGGGTCCTGAAGATCCTAAATTTGGTACCAGAGGGCCTTGAATATTATTATTATTTCAACACATAAATATCGGTACAAGAGGGCACCAAATATATATGCGCCACACCATATTTGTGTGTGGACTGTGATACTGCCCGGGTGACCAAACCGAAGCAAGTGGTTTTCTTATGGGGCCACTCTCCGAGCCTTTCACCTAAAGGTCTGGTCCACAAGGCAGTGGAACATCGTGAGGAGATGCAATCCCATGGTAGCCGGTGACCAACGATTGGTTCATACGCCATTTGTTCCCGCAGGATACTGGAGCCCATGTGCACCATTGGTTTGGGATCCGGTTAAAGCGCCGGACATTCGCTTTTCGTCCTCTCATTTTCGTAAACAACACCCCCACCACGAGAAGGCAATGAGTAGGACTTCCCTGGCAGAGGCTGTATACGCGTGGCCGTGTGAGAGCATTTCGAGAGGGAGGGCGAACCCACCCCACTTTCGGCTATACCAGGGCATTTGGGCCTTGAATAAGCATCACTGTCATACACAAGGACGAAGTAGTTGTCCAGTTTTTCCTATTTTTTAGAGGTTGTTTAACCAAGGTCAACCCGTGATGTAAACTACATCCAAACTTTGTAAATACTGAACACTACTATTGTTAAGTCAAGAAATATGTCAACCAGAAATCATATAGAAAACTACAGATTATTTGGGTTAGTAAAAAGTTATGTTACAATTAACAATAAAGAATGAGAGCTGTACATAAAGTGTGTGCCAATTCTGATTACCACCACTAGGAAAGTAATCATTTGTTGTACGATTAGGCTGAAAACAAAACACTAAAATTATTCGATCATTTGGTCTATTAAAGTGAGATAAACAAAAATACCCTGATCCTGACATAAACGTTTAGCGGTCGAAATCACTCCGCTTCACAAAGCCATTGAGACACTATAACTACAAGATGAATGGGATTTTAGTGACCTAAATATAAAAGTTAAGGTTACCCCTTTGTGTTGTTGTGAAGTGTAACCGTTATGTCACCTCCAAAACTAAAAATTCAAAATGCTGCTAATCTAATTACATTATTCTATTTGACAGTTATGTTTTTATCTGATCGTGGTGTCAATGAGCATTTGCGAAAAAAAGAGGACAAACAATTCATATAAACTCAGCAGTAAATGCTTATACAGCGCAATGAAATTTAGACCTATATGGGCGTAAGAATTAAATCTAGGAATTTTCCTCACAACAGTAAAATTTCCTGGGAATCGATATCATGAAAAACACATTGGTACGAAAATTTGTGAATATGCGACAAAAAGTTTACATACCAGTATTTTCGTGGAGTGTCTTAGGTGTGCTTTGACGATTGATAATTTCTATCAAGGGATGAATGAACAAAGAAGCAAACGGTGCCATCCCTTCACCTGAGAAACAAGAAACGCAATTATATCTCATATCAAACATTAGCAGTAAAATTTTTGGCTTAGATTGTCATGCTGATGCTTTCTTATTAGCAACATAAAATTTGACAATAAAAACGGAATACATTCAGCCAGTCGATTGTAGGGACGACGAAATCTGGGACAAGTGTGAATGGTTTAAGTTGATATAGCATAGTAAGAGTAAGTTAAACTGGAAAATGAAACGAAAATAATGCCATTTTCTGTGGGGACGAGTCAGATTAAAGACCAAAAAATAAGAAGTGGTATCAAGTTTAATACTTAAAGATGTGGCTGGACTACTGAAATCTAAGATTTACATATTTAGGAAGCTCGCAGTTGAATGCTGGTTTAGAGCTAATTTAATTCGTAGTCATCGAACTTGGTTGCTACACAGTAAGTTCGCATGGTTGGGAACAATAATTGGAATTTATGTTAGTTATATTTGTGTTCGGCTCTATTTCATTCTCCATACTACTATTACACGTATTGGCATTTGATGAGTAAGCACGTGCAATCTAAATATCAAGAATCCAAATCAACGAAAATTTACAAAGGACCCAAATGGTTCACTTTTATCTGTAACATTACATTATGAATCTGTTATGTCCCGACAAGAATAGTGAATGGTAACTTTTGGGTTCCATTTACGGACCAATACTAAACGTATATTTCTATTGTATAATTACTAAGTAACTAAACTATGCATATTCATATTCCTCTTATTATAAGCTTTATTTTGACCCATAAACTATTGATACGTTTTAACATTCTTGAGTTATACCCAGTATATTAATTACTACCTTCTTCATTCACAGCCACATCTGGTTAACTTTTCTACAAATGTTGTTTCATATTTTATTGGTACGTTGTGGTCTGTTTGATTGGTATATAAACTCAGTATGTTTGAAATATGATTCATATCGCAGAGGCTCGGACTGGTGTTTTGGACTTAATTGGCTGGGCTAGGCGGAAAGCAGGACCAATCAGAACTATAGGCTGCTCATACGGGTTCACGCGTTATTGGTCCGATTGATAAGTTACTGCTCTCTAATCGGCGGTCACAAGTTATAAAAAAATATAAAAATCGTAAATACCATAACCCCAATTATCTAAATTTTGATCACAAATAATATTCAAAATGCTAAATACATGTGAATTGAATAACTAAAAATCACTCACCCAATTGAATACAAATTTCTCCGATTGCCCAAATAGCATTGTTACTAACAGATATATGCTCCGAACTGAGGTTATTAGCCAAAATTGTCATAAACTGACCAATCTGAGGTTGGATGTGCGCAAAGCATGCTTTTGTTAAATCACCCAAGAGAGCAAAACTACTCTGGCGGACGTCGGGTTGAGCGTCTTGAGCTGCTTCACATAGTAACTTTACCAGGGGGCTACTTGATACTAAATGTTCCATCTGAGACCCAAGACCTTCCATAAGCCCACTTAGGAGATCCAGAGAAATCACCATAAAGTCTTTGTCTGGTGGTTCATATACATCTGGTTGTTGAGCATGTAGCTGTCAAAAATGAACATTTAAACATATTCAACGATTACATTAAGATGTTCACTGAACATCTAACAGTATTTGTATACCAACTCTTATAACAAATCAAAGAATTATTCGCGTAAATATTTGCGCGAGTAAAGTCAACGTGGATTCAAAAGGAAACAAGGGATTTATAAATACGGGTTGCTGTTTCAACTATTATTGAGTAATTCCACAACGAAATTATTGACTGGAAAAATTATGATACTAAGGAACATCAAGATCTTTAATAACCATTTCAGAAACCGTCAAGTTAAAAGTTATATTTAAATTAATCAATAATTCACAGAAATGGACTATGTTACTTTAATACGGGTAAGCATTTCTAAATTTTTTACACTAGCTAACGCTGTACAAGAATGGCTAAATGTACAAAAAATATGGAAGTTAACTGACTGCATTTTGCTGCGTCTACGCTTATAACTGAAATCAGTTGAAAGTATGTAAGTTAAGAGATGAACACTATGGTTTATATCACCAATCTAAACTGTTTAGAAACTAAGACAAACTTACCTTACTGAGTTGTATTGTTCTATCAATTAAATTAACACATCGACTAAACACAGGAGAGCAGTAGGGTAGGAAACCTGTTCCTAGGGCAGTAGCCATGCTAGAAAGGCACTCCAGAAGGGGGAATAAGTCTTTCTCGTCATCTCGTAAAACGTTCCACTTTTCAAAAAGCGGTGGCATAAGCATCTCTATGAAATCCTTTGAGGAAATTACGAGATTAATTTAAATTTACCGGTCGATTGAGATGATGACCAACAGAATCTGCAAGTGTACCTATAGCATCATACAAAATAAACAAGTTTTTGTGTTGATATTGTTTAAGCGCGTACACAAGAGTTCGTAGGATGAGGTCCAGATATGGGACGAGATCTGTACATGCTTCTTCTTCTAGAGTAGCGAAAGCAGAACAGGCTGCCTCCTGAACACGTTTGTTACAATCCAAAATTCTTTTGAGGAGCTACAACTATCAAGTTTAAAGGTTGACTTACCTCAACCATTAAAGGCTTGAAGTATTGTTCATGAGGTTGTCCAACGATCCAATGAGAATAACGGCTTAATGTCCAACAAGTTATACTACGTATGAGAGGCCTGTCATCCGATAGACAACCAATCAGGAACGGACATAACTCTGGAAGGTATGGAATCATGCCCTTCATACAACCTTAACGAAGTCATTTACTATAATGAACTAACCTTCTGCAATAGCACCAAGAACCAAAATACCAGACTCCTTAAGTTCCCACTGAGGAGAAAACAGAAGTTCTTTTGTGATTGGCAACAAAATAGGTAAAAAATCTGTGTGGAACACACTAGCCAACACATCAAGGGCAGCAGCAGAACATTTCCTGAGAGTCCAGTTGGAAACGTAATCGTCGTCTTCATCTTCGTCATCATCCTAAACAAAAACCACTAGAAGGATGATTGTACTTACCTCTGGAGAGAAAAGTTTATTTTTTGTCTTATGAAACCGTGGGCGAATATCGCATTCCTTGTCAGGCAGATGAGCATCTTCTTCTAAATCATTCTACAAAAATATTTTGGTTTAAATGTCTTACTCGAAGTAACACCATATCACTTTCTGAATACTTCATTCCACAAACTAAGACTGGGATAAGTCGCCCGATATATGGCGACAGGGCTTGGTGGCACACAGGTTGTTCTGAAAGCGAGAGCCAAAATTCACATGCCTCTCTTGAAATATTTTCATCGTTTTCTTGAGTGCGAAGAAGCATAAACTTTTTTTTTCAATTAAAAACACAGCCTTACCTCAATGATGTCAGGTAAATTTGGAAGTAATTTATCCAAGTGAGCTTCCAGAAGCTGTACAAATGCAGAGCAAACATGTCGTCGGACATTTGGATCTTCATCTTCGGCTAAAGCGAACAAACACTCCAGAAACTCGTTAACAAAGTGTAGGAGAACCTGAGATTGGCTATGTATGAAGTGGTTGATGCATGCAAGAGCATGAGACCTAAATTACACGAAATTTTGTTTATTAGGTTTTTGAAAACTGTACTCATTACAGGTACTGCATTAGAGAAATAAAGAATAGAAGAGCAACTAGGCCTTAGAATAAGTAGGACAAAAGTAAGTCTAAAGATTTGACTATGATCAAGCTAAATAACCAAGAACAAATTGCAGGACTAGCAAAATACTGAGCGCATAGGTGAGTGTTGGTTCAGAATAATCAGCTTGCGAAACTAATTAACTGAGTTACTTACAAATTGTACGGTCATGGCCAACAAGCCGAAGCCTATCATTCTGGTGATTATTATTAAAGTATGTTGAAATCCAACAAGCTTTTTACACATAGCTACCACCTGGTAACATCGCTTTGAGCATTTGCCGGTATTAGCTCGATATTAAAGTGAGTCACCAGTTTCCCGTAACAATCGACTGACGGTAAGATCGAGTTAAATCTACAAATACAAACTTTCAGTGACAAATGTTCGAGTAAATGATGCACTAACAAACGACATTGTATAACCCTACAATGAAAAACTGTAGTTTAATACGATGTGTACATTTCTAATTCAATATGGGAATTTTTATCTACTCGGTCTCAAACTAGATTCAAGTGATAACTCGCTGCTTAATGGAAAGTCAAGATTGGGTCGAAACTATGACCTCTTAGTCGAAGACGACCATTTTGGTATAGATAACAGTAAGCAACATATTCACGAAGACATTTTAGTGTAATTTATTACATCTTGCAGCTGCACTAAGTGAACATCAACAAAAACAGGAAGCTTGAGCAATAAAAGTTTCACAACATAATGTAGGTCTAGAAGATACTTGTCTCAGACTTAAAAGCGTGTTGGCAGCACTAGTTATAAGCCACTTTAGGTTATAAAAAAACATTTCGAAACCATTACGTTCGAACATGCAAACCTGCGACAGAAAGCCCCTGGACCTAAAGATCCGAGAATGGAGACCAAGGAACAGCACCATAATAATGTAACGTCAGTTAAAAATCACAAAACTTAAAATCCTCTTGAGTGTTCATTAGTGTAATCAATTGCGTTAATTCAGATGTACGGGAACAATTTTTAATGTGTTCTACAACTAGGTCAAAGCAGTTTAAGTCAAATGACACGCTACACGTTAAAATCCAGAGATGAACAGAACCCTCGCCTACAGAAGTTTTTACCAAGAAATTAACTTTAGGGACCTACTGCCGGGACGAGTCGTCTATATCATTGAATAACCCACTAAAACAATAGATATTTGAGAGTGAAAGACCACTACAAGCTCCTTATTGCAAAAGAAAATATATTAACTGAATCTGATAGTAAACTTCACGAGTACGTAACAAATATGAAGCATATCTCACCTGATTTTTGGACTGTCATGTCTAGAGTATTGTAAGAATTTTGGAATAAGCAGTCCTATAGGACAACCAATACGATCGGTTTCCAGTTGAGATGAAGAATCTTCGCATATTTTCTCGATCGCACCAAAAGCACCCTAGAGACTTATTTAGTCATCGACATAACGAACCTCCATAAAATTAATATCATGAGAATCAATACATTCCACCAACTTTGGAAGCAACTCTGGCCAATTTTGTATACCGTCACTAGTTACAATAGTGGTAATAAGAATTCCGACAATTGATCTGATCATAGGTGAACTATCACTGATGCACCGTAAACACCCATCCTTGATGTAGCTAATAAGTTCAGGAGGGCATCTCTTAAAGTGACTTTTCAGATTATTTTTCAGAATAAGTCCACTAAGAGAACGCGTGCTGTCACCTGGACAACATTTATAGTTAGATCATATTTTAAACTTACTTTCCGAACCTGCATTTGTCAAGATATAAGCTAGGTATTTGTTAAAATCAGGAACATTGTTCAACTCATTCAATTTCTAAAACCGTTAAAGGGGGAACTTGATTAACCTCATGCACGACCCTTTGAACGTTTGTGTCAGTTGATTGGGAATTATGTAGCAAATCCAACGTTTGCCGTATCCCATCCTCATCTGGGAACCAACTCATCTTTACGAAATAACCGCCGATTGTCTTCAAAGTGTCGTATAAACAATATTAATTCCTCAAAGCCATAAAAGTATGTTTCCTATGACTGAAATGATGAAAAGTGGATTTCCGATGGGCGTTCTTTCAATTTTCGGCTTTCATCATCAGGCAGTGGAGTTAAGGTTTCTCCAGTGAGTAGCACAAAAACCGTTCCGTTATCAAATGGTTCAAATGATTCAAATGGTTCAAATGGTTGTGGACGGAATAGAAGAAGCTTTCGCTTAACAGGCTTCCGTGTCTAGTAGCAGGGGATCACCAAATCCTCCAGGCAGGAACCTAGGTATGTTAACAATAAAACAGGAAATGAAATTGGTAAATCATAATGTGATGCTGTCCTTGGTCCTTAAGTATAGGTCAAGTTGCCTCTTGAAGGACTCCTGAGAAGTCGCTTGGACTAGCTCGGCCGGCAGCGAATTCCAGCTTTTGACAACTCTTAAGGAGTAGAAGTTGTGTCTACATTCCGTCTTGCTATGTTGTGTTTCCAGTTTCTGGGTGTTACCCCTTAGGTTATTATTCGAACTAAGCTTAAGTAGGTGTTTAAGAGGATGTCCAGAAGTGTTAAGAATACTATAAGCCATTAATAAATCACCTCTAAGAGGCCTATATTCTAGTGGGTAAAGGTCTAGTGAACGGAGGCGTTCTTCGTAAGGCTTAGATTTGAGTCCTCGAACTGATTTCGTGGCTCGCCGTTGGATACGCTCCAAAGTGACCTTGTCCTTTTGGAGTGAGGGGGGAGTACTATGTTTCCGTACTCTAAATGGGGACGGATGAAACTATAGAAGATTGTATGGAAAGTTCGTCCGTCAAACTGTCCAAAAATACGCTTCAACGTTACCAGTGCAAGGTTTGCTCGGAAGGCATTTTTGTCACAGTTAGCGTAAGACTTCAAGTCATGGGGCACCAGGACTCCTAAATCTTTTTCGACTTGGGATACTACTAGAGAGGAGTTTCCTAAGTTGTAACTGTAGTTTGCGACATGTCGCAGATGGACTACTTTACACTTTGAAGTGTTAAAGGTAAGTCCGTTGTCGTCTGCCCAACTTTGAAGTCGCGTCAGATCCTCCTGAAGTGCCTGTGTATCGTCTTGGTTGCGTATCTCTCTCCAAAGTTTCACGTCGTCGGCAAAAAGTAATAAGTCTGACGTTACCTGTTGAGGAAGATCATTTATGTAGATCAAGAAGAGAAGAGGCCCTAGTACTGAGCCCTGGGGGACCCCACTAGGACATTCCATAGCTTGAGATAAAGTGAAATTAACCCTAACCTTAAAGTGTCGATTTTTTAGGTATGAATTAAGCCAATCGATTAGAGGTGTTTTGATACCTAGTCGTTTGAGCTTGTTGATAAGACACAAGTGGTTAACCTTATCAAAAGCTTTTGAGAAATCAAGGTAAATGACGTCAACCTTTCCTTTGCAATCGAGGATGCTTGTCCATTTGTCCACCGCAGTCAGCAGGTTGGTTATACAAGAATAACCCTTCCTGAAACCATGCTGTTGGGGTGAGAAGAAATTTAAGGACAGTAGATAGTCATTTAAACCGTCGCATATCAGGGACTCCATGAGTTTTGAAGGTAACGACAGAAGAGCCACCGGCCGATAACTTGAAGGTTCATTGCGTCGACCACCTTTGAAAATTGGTGTGATGTGAGCCAACTTCCAGTTTTCCGGTAATTTGCCTCGGCTAAGCGAGTGTGAAAACATCACGCTAAGCGGCGTTGCCAGGATTGAGGCTGCCTCCCTCAGTATGGCAGGATGAACCATATCCGGGCCAGGAGAAGTGTCAAGTCTTAAGTGCTGCAATTTCCGGAACACCAAGTCAGCGCTTAGGTCCACTTCAGAAAGTTCTGTGGAATTGCAGATGAAACTGTCGTCAATAAAGTTGATGTCAGCCGGTTGAAATGCTTGAGAGTAATGTGCCGCCAGAAGGTTAGCGGCGTCGCCATCGTTGTTGGTCGGGCCGTTAAGACCTAGCAGTTGAGAAACTCCTGTTTTGGCTTGACGAAGAGAGGCTGCAAAACGGAATAGGCTTCTAGGGTTAGAGGCGAATTTGTCCATAAGCTTTGTTTGGTACTGAAGCCTGTCTTCCCTTATAGCCTTCGTGCATGTGTTCCTGATATGTTTGTATTGCCTATACGCTCCATCGTTATTAGTTCGTTTGTATTCCGCCCAACAGTGCCGTTTGCGGCTTAGGAAGCGAAGGGTACGGTTCTTGATAACTGTAGGTGGCTTGCAGCTTTTGGGAACCGTTTGAGGAACTGAATGGTCTGTAGCACATAAGAGCGTGTGCAGTTAGAAGTCCCAGTGACCATCCACATCGATTTGAGGGTGAACATCCCAAACCACCTGTTGTAGATGGTCATGTAGAGCTGGCACATTCAGCCGTTTAAAATTCCAACGCAAATTATTGTTGGGATACCTTAGCTTAGTTTTGCTGACAAAACTGAAGGCTATGACGGCATGATCGCTCTTTCCCAGAGGAGCCAGGATTGAGAGGTTGTCGACTAGGAATTCTTCGTTAGTGAATACACAGTCTAAGCGCGATGGTGTCTGACTGTTTCTCCAACGAGTTGCCGACCTCACATTTTCATATAAGCCCAAGTTATCGATGAGGTTGAAGAACCGAGCTTCAGTTGAGTTGTCGCCTCCAGTGTACATGTGTTCCGCGAAGTTGACTCTAGGGAGATTAAAGTCCCCTAGAATCAGGATGTGTGTGAAACGGAGACGGATAGAGCGGGATAGTCCTTCCAGCATACGACTATCGTACTCGGTGTCGGCAGTTGGCTTCCTGTAAATGACTCCGACTAGACACCTGGAAGTACTAGACAATCTTACAGAGCACCATATGGATTCCTCAAGATTGTTAAACTCGAGGTTGTGAACCTGGTGCACCTCCAAGCAAGAGCTTATGTATATGGCTACTCCGCCCCCAATTCCTGTTTTTCTGTCGTTGCGGAACAAAGTCATCCCAGGCAATGCTAACTCTTGATCCGAGAACTGAGAAGATATCCAGGTTTCAGATATTCCTATCAGATGGGCCTTGTTAGCGTTGCTAAGTTCACGTAGTTCATCCAGTTTGTTTGGTAAACTCGCGGCGTTCATATATAAGCAGTTTATGCTTTCAATTTGGAACGCGTGAGCTTCGTCCTGTTTTTCTGTATGAACCTTATGTGAATGGACAGGTAGCCCACCTATATGAGGTTTGCCGAGATGGTAGGCCCTGTCCTTTACACGTTTTTTTATCGTTTAGACAGTCCACAAGTAGAATGGTCAGCTCCAACTTGCCTTTGTTCTTGGTCCTAACTTCGTATGGCCTATCCGTGTGCATGTGGATTCCAGGTGGCAATCGACGTCTATTAGCACGAAATGCTTCCAGAACTGCAGCCGCCATGTGGGAAGATGGGAAGGTTATCTTCATTAGACGGGGTCTAAGATCACCGTCCTTCTTGGCTAGTCTCGTCACATGCTGAGTCAGTATGTGTTTGAGCCTCAAGGACTGTTTGATGAATTTCCATTCCCTGATGTCAGAATTTGATTGAGTAGGGTCTGCATTTTCCGGTATACCTTGGACAATTATGTTTACTTCTGCGGAAAAACTTCTCGCGAGATTCTTTAGGGACGTTTCGTATGATATTGCGCTCAGAGTACGGTATGTCGGTCAATATTCTTACGTTACCATCTGATTTCAGCAAGTGACTTGCTAGCAAGACGTCCTCTACGTCGCTAGCATTCTTAAGTGTTACTCGGAGAAGCCTCGGGTGATTTAGATGCTTAGAATCCTTTCCTCGAGTGAGCCGGGTGACCATCAAAGGCTCTATTCTAGGAAGTTCGAGCTTCTTGTTCAATTCACTCTACAGCATCCTGTCGTTTTTGTCCTGCAGACTGAGAGGAAGGTCAGGATTGTCGACGAGGTTCATGATAATGAGAGAACCGTCACAAGCTGTTGTTAATTTACCAGGTTTCACGATGGGTTCAGGTTTAATAACTTGTTGTTTGGAGGTCAGTGTGTGTTTACGAATCTTGGGCTCTTTATTGATTGGACGAACAGTCTTGGGGCTAGACTGTGCGACTAAATCACCAGTTATTTTCCGTGCAGCAACACTTGGGTTGCTCGGCTTAGGCGGTGATGCCTGGTTCTTTTGGGCTCTCTTAACGTGGGTCGAATCACCCGCAGGGTTTTTGGGAACCACTGTTGAGTTCAGGGACCCTGAGCCATGCTTATCCTCGGTAAGATCAAGAATCTTACTGAGGATAAGCATGGCTTTTCAGTGAATTTATAGACGTCAAAGCCCAGAAGACCCACTTTTTATCCAAAAATGTTTAAGTCATATAAATTTGTTTTGTACGTATTTAAAAGACGCATATTACGGTAAATATTTCCTCAAAATGAATACTTCCGTAAGTCGACAAAATGGAGACCGACCTCCTTCGTTTTACTACACACATCCTGCCTGAAGGTTCTTGATCACCCAAACGCAAAACCTTGCTAGTGGGCACGCCCTATTGTGTGTCCTTTGCAACTACTGTATAGCTTAAATCAAACGCTTCTCACCAAATCGGCGACTTCCCAAATAAACCTTTGGACTTATTCACCTCTGACCTCTGATCTGACTGGGAAAATATCACTAAAGATGTCACAACCATTGGGAGTCCTATAACGCTTTTGCCAGCAACACCTTCATAATCGAAGTACGCCAACCCAGTTAGATCAAAGTCAGGAGTGAAGGGGTTCGAAGTTATATTTGAAAGGGTATCGAGAACTCGAGAAGCGTTTGATCTAAGCTGGTTAACACTTGTAGGAGATGCTTAGCGCCGAGTACCTACTGGCGATTTGGTGTGGATATGTGACCGAGCGCCTTGAGCTAGATGTGTCCATCAAAACCAATGCGATTACCATCAAATGTCGAAGACTTATAGAACTATTCATATTGAGAATTTAATTATCGCAACATGTCTTTCGATTATAAAGGTGTTACAAGCGATAGCGCCGTCAA